TCTGTAATTCGACCCCTTATCCCAAGGGAGAGAGAGCCCACCTTGTCCAGGAACAGAACCAGGGCCGGCCCAGGAAGCTGGCCTCCTCCAGCTCAGGGCCAGGTGCGTAGGTTTCCTGGTTAGTGACAACTGGGCTTTTAGAGCAGCCCTGCAGTGCAAAAATGCTGCTCTGCTGAAATCTGAGAGACTTTAAGCGCAGTGTTGCGAGAGCCTCCCATTCTCGGTGGTCAGGTGTGTTTCTTCCATCCAGCTCCTTTTATTTAACTTAGGGAAACGTGCCATGTCATGCGTATATAGACAGTGTTTGCCAAAGTTTTTCACTGTGGTGTCTGTGCCTTCCTTTGTGATAACACTGCATCCTTCCCAGAGACAAAAGAAGCCAGAGCAACACTGCTGCCCTTCCTTTTGAAGAACTGGAAAAGATTTTTCTGGGGAAAAGAGTGGAAAACTTTGTCCTGAGCTGATTGGTTAATCTCCTGCAGAGTCCTCTCCAGGGCTCCGGAAAGCCAGTTTGACAGGATTCTGAAGCTAGCTGGGCCACAGCAGGGCAATTCCAGTCTGGAGAGAGTGAGTGAGTGAGTGAGTGTGTGTGTGTGTGTGTGTGTGTGTGTGTGTGTGTGTGTGTGTGTAGAGTGTTTCAGTTTTGTTATTTTTTTGTCAATACTGGGGATTGAACCCAGGCCCTTCCAACTGAACTATCTCTCTAGCCTTTTATTTATTTTTATCTTGAGACAAGATATCACTAAGTTGGCAGATTGTGTTCACACTTGAAATCCTCATGCTCCAGCCTCCCAAATCATTGGGATCACAGGCAAACATCACCACACGTGGCTTCCTTGTTTTAAAAATGGGGATAATATCTATCACAAAGGTTGATATGCATATTAAATAGAGCCTTATATAGATTTCCTGAGAAATTTTGTTTCGTTTAAAAATTTTTGTTACAACAATATATTTTATTTGCAGTGGGAGGATAATTTAGTGTAGCTGTCCTCCCTGCTAACCTAATGATTTAGTTTTATAATCAGTGATGTCAAGTTTAGGAGTTAATGGTATGTAAAGAGTTAAAAGCATTGACAGGCACAATTTGTATCTGCTAAGAAACTGAGTACATTTTTGATCACTGTGTGAAGGCCCTTCCCTCACACAAAGACCCAGATTTGTGAAGTGACTGCAGATAGGCAGGAGGGGGCGCTCACCTGCTCCTCGAACCTAGAGAGGGACCTTTGTGTCTCCCCTGAAGGAGAACTAGGCGGAGAAGCACTGCAGACTAGATCTCCAGCCGTAAAGCAATACAGATGCTTGATTTTGCTCTTGGTCATCTCTTGTTCTTTAAGACTGTGTTAATAGGGCCAGGGATTTAGCTCAGTGGCACCATGCCTGCCTCAAAAGCACAAGGTCCTCAGTTTGATCTCCAGTACCGCAAAAAAACCCCACCTAAACCTCAAAAAACTATATTAACAAAGTCTTATGTTGAACCTGCAGAGAAGCCATGCCAAGACCATGGTGTTAAAGGAAGAGCCTCTTCACATGGCAGGAGTGACAGGCACTCAGCTGAGAACTCTAGGAGCATGGTTTTAACAAAGGGATTAGGACCAATGGTTTTTTTCAGCACCCCCCTCCCTTTGGGACATCTCCTTCCAGCCGCAGACTTGGAGGTGCCGAGCTGTGCTTTGTTAAACAGGCAGCAAGCGGGCAGCCTGTCCCAGCAGTCACACCTGAGTCACCTTCTCTCCAGTCTGCCTGTCTCTGCTCTGGGTGAGGAGCAGAGTGGAGATGTGCTGTCAGGTACGTGGGACAGAACCTGGGCTCATACTAGGTAGACTGTGTTGAAACCTCCATCTTGGATACAGGTGTGAGAAGTGGCAGTGTACAGAGAGGTGTCTGGGGCACCGGTTCTCACTCCGTTCACAGCACATATGGGTGTGAAGGTGGAGAGGAGAAATAGAAAGCAAATGCTAACATTTGGGAAATCTGGGTGAAGGCTTTGTGGGAATTCCTTTTAGTATTGTAGTGATTTTCCTGTCAATATGAAATTATAACTAAAGAAAAGGTTAGAAGTATATGTCTTGGCATTTTTCCATGGAAGCACATAGATTTATATTACTGACTTTGCATGACATATTGCTGCACAGATGCATGTGCTGTAACCAGGTGGACACCTGTCACTGGACATCAGATTGTTTTCAGTCCTGTCGTGATAAACTTGCTTGGATTTTCTTTTTTCTTTTCTTTTTTTTTTGGTACTAGGGATTGAACTCAGGACCTTGCGCTTTCGAGGCAGGCGGCAGAACCACTGAGCTAAATCTGGGGCCCTAGGATTCTTAACTATGATCTATCCTCATGTAGTAAACACCCCAGAAAAATTCACAATAAATTAACCAACCAGCTGGAACCTAAGGTCTTCATTAGAATTTTAAATGGATTAAATGGTGACTGTGGTGGGGTTAGATAAACGTTGCTAATCTACAGTATCTTCAGTTGTGGTTTATTCAGTGGAGTAAAACGTCTCAAAACAAAACAAAACAAAAAAAGAGGGGTCTTTGGGGATATGAAAATCTTGGCTAACTGTTGTCTCCTTGAATGGTTAGGGATTGCAGGAAGAAGTTTTTTTGCTTCTCAAGGGTTCATCTTCCTGACCTCATTCATTCTGTTTAAACAGTGGCCCAGTCTTTCCTGCCCTCATCCCAATGTGGTTTGCTGTTTTTCATCAATGGCCAGATATTGCTTGGATTCCCATTCTTGTTCCAGCAGCAGATAGCACACGAGGCCTCTGTGCCCAGCATCAGAACAATGTCACGCTCTGCTCTGCTGATTCTCCTTCAAGCTCTAATTGGGATTTTTTTCTGATAGTGCATGTAAGAAATTGAAACCACAGTACATGTTTTATCCTCTGATGAAAAAGCATTCGTTTCTCCGACGTTTAGCTGAAATAAGAGCACTGATGTCTGCCCAGTTTTTAGACGCCCTTCAGTGATTTTAAAACACAAAGAACTAGTTGTTCTCATGCAGGAATGTCTGCAGGTGGGTGCGGGAGATATGAGGGACACCCTCAGTTCTCTTAGTGATACCTCCAAACTTCTGACACCACCTCAACAATGACAGACTGCAGAAATGTCCACAAAACCATTTCCAGGGAGTTTACATATTTTAAGAGCATATTGAGGCAGCTCAGATTGTGTTTGAGTTGGGGCATGTTCATCCTGCTCTGGTACAGGGCAGGGTGTGTGTTGTATGCCTTTCCCTCTTTATTCCTCAAAGTTTGTCTTAATTTTCTTATTGCAGAGACAAAATACTCAACACCCAAAGTAAAAAGAGGAAAAGTTTATTTTGACTCATGGTTTGTAGAGGTTTCAGTCCATAGTTGGCTGGCTGCAAGGCAGGGTGGCATGGCAGAGGGGCATCGCAGGGGAGAAGCGGTTTTTGGCAGGCAGAAGGCAGCAAAGTAGCAAAGAAACAAGCAGGCACAGCAACCTTCTCTCTATTCCTTATATTCTGTCCAAGCTGCATACCCTTAGGGCGGGTTGAAGTCACACCCAGGGTGGGCCTTCCCACAATCCACACCCAGAATTATGCCAGACTATTCAGTAGGCTGATTTAGTAATCACACACCCTTGATCCCAGCATCACCCGCTCTAGATCCAGCCACCTCTGAAAAGGCCCACCTGTGACCACATGAGGCTTTGGGAACATGGAGACACAAGCCATAACAGAGTTCATGGGAAGGAGGGACTGAGGGATTGTTAACCTAGACTTTGAGTTAGTAAGTGACGCTGTGTGAGCAGTTCGAGAGCCATAAGCAGGAAAGTCCATCTGTCCATCTTGTGCAGCGGGTGCTGGTGACACAGAAGGGCAGTGCTGTGCCTTCTGAAGTGTGGGGTAGTGGGAGGGCCGTACGATGGGCACTCACCATCCTGTGCCCCTCTGTGCCGCCAGCTGCACAGCTTGCATGAGTTGACCCAGAACAAAAGTTGCTGGTCTGTTGAAAACAGAGTCATAGGGTACGTTTCATGTCTCTAGTCAGAAAATCGTTGTTGCAGATTAACTTTGCTCTTTTCTTTGCAGTTAACAATGTGTAGACCATAATATGGCATTTCCTGGACTCTGTCATGATGTCTCTGGTAACAGTTGCAGCAGCAGCCACCACCACCACCACCACGTGTGTTTAGCTGGGGATAGGAGGTAGCAGGAATAGTTGGTCTTTTTCCAAGACACCAAAGAATCTCTGCTCTCAGTGGGAAACCTGCGTGTGTGTGTGTGTGTGTGTGTGTGCGCGCGCGCGCATATGAGGTGAAAATGCTGACTTGAAGTGAGGTGATAGATATTTTTAACTTTAAAATTAACTTTGGAGCCAGGTGTGGTAGTGCATGCCTGTAATTCCAGCACTGTGGGAGGCTGAGGCAGGAGTATTACAAGTTTGAGCCCAGCTTGAGTGATTTAGTGATTTACTGACACTCTGTTTCAAAATAAAAAATAAACAGGAATGGGGATGTAGCTCAGTGCAAAAGCCTTTTGTTCAATCTCCAGTACCATGGGGCGGGGGACGGTGTTGAAGGTTGGCAGGTTAGAATATTGAAAAATAGGAAGAGCTGTCCCTGATTGGACTCTGGCCTGTGTTCCATGGACCTACTAATGTGTTCAGATGATCACTACTTTTTGCGTTCATCTCGTCTCAGTGTGGGATGATACGAGGTAGCTGACTGCTGTGTCTGTTTTAATCTCTCTTCTGCTCTGTTACTGCCTTGAGATGCACGGACATGCTCTTTATTTCATATACAGATGTTCTTTGGTGACTTGATCTGTGGTTTAGTCTGCCATGGTCTCCAGCTCCTGTTTCTTTGTGTTTCTCCCAAGAGTAAGCTGGGCAAATCTCTTTGGACTTCCTCATCCAGAATGCAGAGGCCCTAGTGCTCAGCCAGGAAAAGGAGGCCCAGGGTCCTGCTGCTCTGCAGTCCTAACTGGTGCTTGTGCCCTAATCCTCTCCTCCTCTTCCCTTTCAGCAGACCTACTCTGGTGACATCCACTGTGTTGAAGAGATTCTGAAGGTGAGTTCTGCTTACTGTCTGTCGCCTGAAGGACGCTTAAGGCACATGTGGGCGTGTGCATCTGCATTAAAGGACAGCTGCCAACCCTAGCCCTCCCAGAAAGGGGCTCCTACCGTGCACCCTCATAGACCCTGACAGTAACAAAGGGAGACTTAAAGCACTACTGAATTCTGTAACAGATTGTATTAATTAAAAGGAAGTCCACAAACTGCCTGACCTTTGCACCAATTTTACAGTGTTTCTCACGTTTTTGTACTTGTGTGTAATGATCCAGAAAGCTGCTCACATCCCAGAGGAGACGGCTCCCGGTACTGCTGTGGTAGCAGGCACTGGGGTTAAACAGCCTGGATTTATACCTGTTGTGTTTCCTAGGTGACATGGGGTGTGTCTGGCCTCTTCTTCAGCGAGACTATGACTTTTTTTTTTTTTTTGCTACTGGGGAATGAACTCTGGACCTTGCGCTTGTGAGGCAGGCACAAGAACCACTGAGCTAAATCCCTGGCGACTATGATATTTTAAAGGGGGAACAAAAAGAAAATGTGGAAAGTAAAAGCACATCTTTAGGCTACCCTAAGGATTATTCTTTGCTCCTGTTTATTGAGAGTGTTCATGAATGTTTGTGCTGCTTCTCCATGTGAATCATGGAATGTGTTACCCTTCCTTCAGTTTTTCTTGCACACCAGAAATTCCTTGCAGCATTTAGTTCCAGTAAACAAAACAAATTCTCTTAAACTGACATGCTCTCTTTTTATCAAAGAAGAGCCACATAAACTATCATGTTTTCCTTTTTGGCTTTAATTTCTTAGAAATGTGTTTAATTTTAATACTCAAATACAGCAACTGTAATATTGTGTGTATTTATTTCTCTTTCTTCCTCTGTGGCTCAGAAGTTGCTTCTATGTCAGTTTTAATGATTCTTCACTGTAAAGTTTTTGAATTTAAACGTAGAAGTCAGGTATATGGCCCTGGTCTGTGAATACTAATCTCTACTCATTTTTCCCTCAAAATACACTGAAAGGGGGCTGGGGATTTAGCTCAGTGGTTTCTATGCCTGCTGCGCAAGCGCAAGGACCCGAGTTCAATTTCCAGTACCAAAAAAAAAATACACCGAAAGGATTTTGTCTTTAAATTCCCCTTGTAAATTTATAAGTGACGGTGGTGCTTACACCAGCAAATAAGTATGTGGGTTGCTGTGATGGTGATCTTTGGGGGTTTTTTTGTTGTTGTTTGTTTGTTTTTGTTTTTTGGTACTGGGGATCGAACTCAGGACCTTGCATTTATGAGGCAGGAGATGGCACCACTGAGCTAAATCCCCAGCGAGACTGACTTTAAATTCACTAGGGCTGCAGATTTAGCTCAGTGGTTCTGGCACCTGCCTCACAAGCACAAGGTCCAGAGTTCGATCCCTGATACCAAAAAAATAGAAATAAAAAAATTAAATTCACTATGTAGCCCAGGCTGGCCTGGAATTCACAGTGATCCTCCTGGCTCAACTTCTTGAGTGCTGGGGTTAACAGATGTGCGTCACCACACCCAGCTTGTTGGTGATCTTTGCCTTGTGAAAATTTTGACAGAAGTAGTATCTGGCCAGATATTTGGGAGACACTGCCATCATTTTTGTTTCACGGTGTTTTTTTTCTTTTGTAGCTAGGGCTTTACAAGAAAGTTGCCTCTAAGCTTGAAGCATATTTGAGCTGCTAAAGATGAGAAATTTTTACCAGCCAGAAGAAAAATAATCATATTACTGGGCTGGGGATTTAGCTCAGTGGTGCTGCCGCCTGCCTCTCAAGCGCAAGGTCCCAAATTCAATTCCCGGTACCAAAAAAAAAAATCAAATTACCTTGATCGAATTTTTGTATCATACTTTCCTGTTTCTATTTCTGAAATGTCTTGGGTAGTGAATTCTTTTTGTTTTGTTTGTTTTGGCTAGTGAATTCTGAGAGTTAGGCCAGCCATGATGCATGAGGATTGCCACAAGTTCAAGGCCAACCTGGGTTACATAATGAGTTCAAGGCCAGCGTGAACTGCACAGTGAGACTCTGTCTCAAAAAATAAAACAAGCAAAAATTCTGAGAATAAGAACTGACCTGATTATAAAATATGGCTTTAACATTTTCACTGAAATTGGGATGACTTGTTCTATAGTTACAGAACTGCAGGGATAGAGATTTGCTGTTGTCTGCATAAACGATTCTCCTTGGATTTGATGTATGTTAATGCTACCCACATGTCAATCTCCCATCCTTCCTGTAGCAGTGACGATGATACAGCATCAGAGGAACATATTTTTTTCAGTTTTACTTTTATTGGTCTATGTTTGCAATACCTAAAGATTACACTCCCCTTCCGGCTCTTGGTCCTCTTCCCATTTGCAAAAGCTCTATCTCTCTGTTTCCTGTCATCTTTTGTCTTGCTCTTTAATTTATTTATACTTGGGTTTCTTACATAAGAGAAACCATGTGATATTTAAATTTGTGCAGACAAACATTTTAAATGTAATAAATTCATCCACCATCACTTCTCTAGCATTGCTTTAAGTGACATCCGGCCTCCCTGGGAATGCTTGAGAGTAAGTGATTACCGCAGCCAGAGGGTGTGTGTTTTCATTTGGAGATCATGCATCAGGAAAGCAAGTGGAAGGGTATCTGGGACTCAGGGACCTGGGCCTTTTCAGAGCGGAGATTGTGGATCTGCAATCGAACTGAAGTCCCCACCGCTCTGTCCCTGGGTGTTGGTTCTCGCAGGGTGAGATGAAGGCGTTGGGCTGGCAGATGATTTCTAGGGCCCCTCCCTGCCCTCTGATGCTGATGTCTACATCACCCTCTGCCTCAGTGTCCCCCTTGTTACCTTGCACCAGCAATTTATTGAGATGGTCCGGAGGAATCCAGACACAGGGGAGGTACAGGCCATAGATGGTTTCCCAACATCACAAATTAGTTACAGATGTTGTTTGGTCCTCAGGGTGATAACCTGGGGGAAAGTTGTCCCTATTACTCCCACAGGTTGATGGGTGAGCAGGTAGCCAGCAGATTCTACTCACAGCCACATCCTGGCCATATAGCAGCATACAGAAAGGGCAGTGTACATCGGGCAGATGCAGGCAGCTGGAGTTTTCCACTTACAGTCTGTTGGGGAGCTGAGGCAGTTGGAGTAGGCTCTCCCTCAGTGCACTGATGCCAGGGATTATGTGTTTGTTCACTTGTTTATTCAACAAATCTCCATTGGCCTGCAGATGCTGTTCAGCACTGGGTTCCCCAGTGAGGCAGACTGAGTCTTGGCTGCCATGGCAATGGAGATGTGGGTCTGTGGTAGAATACAGGAAGAGAGTCTGGGGAGTGGAGAAAGACAGGGGAAGAGTGGGCAGAAGGGCCTCGAGGTGGTAAAAGTTGGTGCATTCAAGGAGCAGCTAGGACTGGAGCAAAATGAGCAAGGAGGAAAGGGGGCAGCAACCATGGGGCACGAAGGGTGGCACCAAGGCAGGCATCCAAAGCTGGGCTCTGTCCATGTGAGGAGTCACTGTGAAGGCCAGGAGCAGAACCTTGGCCTCCCGGTTCTTTTGGAGCCTCCTCCCCTCAGGAATGGCCCCCTGGTACCTACATGCCTCTGGGAGGCTAGACACTTAGGGAAATACATAAATTTCTTCAGATTGCTAGGAAACCCTAGGGTTTAAGGAATTTATGCACTTTCCAGTGGCCTAACTTAATGGCTGGGGCAGCCTTAGGCATGGAGGATAACCGTGGATTGTTTAGTAGTAATTGGTGACTGAGTATCATAGATACCATGGAGATTCTGAAGAAATTCTTGGAGAACATAAGGGTAATGCTTTCAAACACCACCTCATTTAATTGCTACATATTTTTATATTGTAACATTCTGATGGTTTCAGACTTTAAAGTTTTTGCCAAATAAACCAGCAGGGAGCACTCTTTGCAGTACAGTATTGAAATTCTTATAAATCTAGATTTTTAGTCAAACATGGTAATGATCTGCATGCTTTAAGTGTCTTCTGTACAACATGCGTTCAAGCATTCACTTACTTGAACTATTCCTACCATACTTTAAAAATAAGTGCTCTAAGCCCACCTTTTACTGAGAAACTGAGGCTCAGAATTCAGGCCCCTCCCACAGGCTGGCTCAGGTCAGAGTGGGATTCTTGTGTTGGTCTCTGGCTGCAGATCAGTTGCTCTTTCCGTTGTCTTAGCAGGACTCCTGCTTAGTGCTGGACCAGGCAGGTGGCCAGTCTATAGAAAAGGACAGGCTTTCATTTTTTATATAATGGCCCAAAGCCAGCATCAATTCCATCACTATTCAAGGTCACTTAGTCTGTCCTGGAGCTGGTGCAGCACAGAGTGGGGGCTTCTTGCACTTCCCCAGGAAAATAGGGGGTTTCTGATCTGCAACTGAGTCATCTGAGACTTTAGTGTTCTCATCTATAAAATGCTGGGGTTAATGATCTCCAATGCCATTTTAGCCCTTCCAGAAAGTAAGAGTGTATGTTAGACACACCTTTTATCTGACATATCTGTGTACCATAGGGGGTGTGTGTGTGTGTATGTGTGTGTGTGTTTTCACAAAGCAAGATTCACAAATATGCTTAGGAGAAAACAATTTATTCAGGATAAATATATTCATTTGTAAGCTTTGGGAATCTTGCCTTCGATGAAATAATAAAAATTAAACTTATTGGAAAAGAAAGGTAATCTTTGAAGGCTGCCTCCTCCAGTGAAGTTCTCTATGCTATGGAGAGTATGAGGGAAGGGTCAAATCGATTAAAGGGCTCCCAAGTGGAACAAGTGGCCTCAATTACTTGTTTGCTTAAGACAAACAGGAAAGTTCTTCTTCCTTTGAACTTCAGTCATTCCAGGAAATGCAGTAAACCAGCCAGGGGAGAAAGTGAGCAGGAGGGAAGCTACCTTCAGGCCAACCTACTGTTCGAGCTCCTTAGCTTGCAAGACCCTCCAGCCCTCTCTCAGCTCATAGGTGCCATTGTACTTGGCATGTAGCACCTGTTCACCTTGCTGTTTTATTCTTCAAGCTGTTTTTTTTTCATTTTTATAAGTTGGTGATCTTCAGCTTTTGAACACAACTCATTCAAGTAGGAGTTTCTAAAGTGACTGAATTAACTTTTCAGACTGTACCTTTCACTTGTCTTTAATCTTCTCGACCCCCAATTTAGAAAGTTATCCTAAGTAGCCGTGAATATTGTGTTTGTAATGTACTTTTTCTTCCCTCTCCAAATCTCTTCTCAGGAAATGACCCATTCCTGGCCACCTCCTCTGACAGCAATTCACACGCCTAGCACAGCAGAGCCCTCCAAATTTCCTTTCCCCACCAAGGTAATCCTCGACAGCAGCCTGGTGTCTGTATGAATGAAGTGTGAAGTGTTGCTGTGAGCCAGCTTTATGAAGTATTACACTTTATTCTCCAGTGTATGGGAGTAAGAACATCTTGGATTTGTATAGTCAGGCTTTACAGTTTATGGAAGCATTCAGGACTTCACAGAACCTGTTTCATTGAGGGCACTTCCTGTGAACATGGGAAACAGGTTTGGGAGAACTAAGTGGGGGAGATGGTCTGATTTCTAGTTTTTTATGTGCACACACATCTTGTGTGTCTCATATGTCCAAAATTTTCTTGAAGGTTAATGTGATACTAGCAATACTTTACATAACAGTTAACTGCTGAATCAGGCATTTCTTTCTTTCTTTCTTTTTTTTTTTTTGGTACTGGGGATCGAACTCAGGACCTTGCACTTATGAGGCAGGTGGCGAAACCACTGAGCTAAATCCCTGGCCCTTCAGGCATTTCTGTAACAGCCTTTGTGAACAGCATATTTAAAGCACAGTCATCTTTTCTTGGCTTGTACTTTTGAATAACCTTCAGCATGTAGCAATAGCATGTTCCAATCTGGGTCCTGTCCAACCTGCTATGCATGCACATGTGTTCATAGCTATTGTTCTCCATGATACTGTTTCCAAAAGAAATTATGTCTATACAAACCCAGATTTACCACATCAGCTATTTTACTCATTTCAGAGTAAGACTTTTGTAAGACAAGTCATTATTACTGGTTTTAAAATAAAGCCTTAAGCTCTGTAAAAATGTCTATCCTTAAGACCAAAGAAAAAATAAACTCCAGGAAAGAATGTAAGCGATAAAAGCTATTTTATGTAAAAAAATGTTAGTCATTATTTTAAAACTATTCATGAAGATTCACTAAGATTGATGATTGAATTGATGGAAAGATAGTATGAGGGTCTTAGAGTGAAATATACAATTGTGTGGTGAGTAATATGGGTGTTCTCTATTTCTGTTTTTCTATATCTTTAAGAGTTTCATAAGACTATCTTTTCAATATTAAAAGCTACAGTTTTGCCTTCACATTTATAAGTCTTAATATTTTAATAAGTAGAATTTTTTCCTTTCCCTAGGATTCTCAGCACATTAGTTCTGCAACCCAAAACCAAAGTAAGTAAATGTCTGGAATTGTTTATTGCATTGGAGAAGAACACATGCTTTTTAGTGGTTTAATAAAACAACATTAGTAACAAATGCCCCAGCAGAGATGAAGCTTCCCTAGATTGAGAGAAGAAAAGGAGCAGAAACATGAAGTTGTTCTTTAGGTGGAATTTAAGAGCATTGCAAGGAGTTACAGTAATGAAGATGTTTTAGTAATATCCTAAACAAATATAAGTTGCTGCTGCATAAATTGAGATTATTATCTTGAATGTGAATGTCAAAGTGTTGTAACCCAGGAATTGTGTACAGTAGGGATATATTGTCTTATCAGCTTTAGGTATCTTGTAATTCTTGTGTTTTTTAAACTGAGAGATTTTTATAAGAAATGTAGCACACAGCTTCTCTAGTCCCTCTGTATCCATTGGCCATGCAATTCTTTATCTTTTCATGGACTGTGAAATACTTGAAAACTGAGAGTGAAATGAGGCTGCCTGGCTCCAGCATTTGTCTACAGCAGTAACTCCTCAGATCAGTAAATCGTTTACATCTTGGCCAAAGCCTTAGAAAGATGACTAGGATATTGGCAATCATTTAGTTTGTGAGAATGGTTACTGGGAGGGGAATAAGATACTTGCACAGGTGGACTAGCTCGCAGCAGAATGTAGTAACTGCTACAGAGACAAAGTGTTGGTCTTCAAGGAGGAGGCACAGGCCACAGGCAAGGTCTCTGGTGTATATGTGTGTGTTGGACAGTGGACACTCCCAATGCCACTGACAGAGTTCCTCCTAATCTGCCCCTTATTTTTTTTCCTCACTTCCTTGGCTTTCCTTGATGATTTTGATGTTTGAGTTGTAAGGATGTATGAGGATAGGGGAAAAAATAGCAAAGCAAGAAACAGAAAACCTTCCTCCAGAGCAGGGCTAAGCAAGCTCCCAGTGAGAGTCAGGTCTGCCCTGCAGCTGTCTCCTGTAAATAAAGCTTCATTGAGCCCTGACCAGGCCTGTCAATTGATTCTGCAAGGCAGAGCACACAAGCCTGGAATCCTGTATTTATTCTCTGACCTTTATAGGAAAGGTTTCCCATTCCCTATTCCAGAGGCACTGAATAAAACCTTGCCAGAACTGATAACTAAATTTTCCCCAAAGGCAGACAACTAAGCCTGCCTGACTCTGTTGCCACAGTATCACATAAGCCACCAAGGTAAAGTGCACTGAGACTGGTGGCTGCTTGTGGAGTAGGAAGTCTCACATTTCAGCCACCGGCCCTGGGAGTGAGCAGATGCCGGTAGAGTGGGGCAGGGTGAGGGCAAGGGCTGGGCCATTGTGCGCAGGATGCTCACATTCTCTCCCTCCCTGCTCCTTCCTCCTCCATCCGCTGCGGGTGCCAGGTACTGTGCCTTCCCCAGACTGCTCATGGCTGGGTGATGCAGCTCTTGCTGCAGGAAGGTCTTTATCTCATTAGATGGTTTGACTGAAGGCAAGCTCATAAGCAACCGTGCTCGCTTCGTTTTTGAGAGCTTGCCCAGTGCTGGTGGGAGCCTGCAGGTCCTGGCCCTCCTGCTGTTCATTCCAGGTCTTTGATGGCGCTGCCCCATTGTCTTGTTCTCTGGGAACTGTATCTCTGAGAAGGTGGCCCTTGTGGTCTGCAGAAGAGTCAGGGTGTCATCTGCTGGCTGAAGAGGGAGTGAGGTGTGGATGGATGTGGCTTCCAGTGGAGAGGAGAGTATGCATATGTGTCTCAAAGTATCCCCAGCAAGTGGCATTTTGTTTTGTCCACTGGTCTTCTGGTCCTGGCACAAGTGCTTAGCTGTCTGGAGCGGGACGTGCAGGCATGATACCTGTGTGCCCTGTGCTTATGTCATGTTGGCAAAACACAGCTGCCAGGTCCCTGGAGCCTGGGGGACTTGGAGCCCAGTCAAGGAGACCGGAGCCCAGTCAAGGGGACCTGTAGGAGCCCCTGTGAATAGTCAGAAGAGTGACTTTTGCCCCACATTTGTAGTCATGGTCCTAGCTGTCTACACAGGTGGGAAGGCAGTTTCAAAATAGCATCTTAAGAGCTGCTAGCACGAAGATAAAATGATGACCTGCAAACACAGGAGAGTCTGCATGTGCTGTCTGTGAGAAGAGTGCTCACCTTGGCTATGAGGCACCTACTTCTTTGCAAGTCCAGTCTGTTTCTGTTCCCACTGCCTTGAGTCTACACAAGCAAGGCTGCTTCCAGCTGGTTTTGTGGCCTCTGTGCTTAACATTCCCTGCTCCCTTCCAGTTGTACCTGCAGCATGACCGTACTCTCAAGCACACTGTGTCCCCATGTGGATGATGGGTGAAGTCTCACTGCCCAGCAACTAAAGCCAAAACTTCCATCCTGTTGTCAGTCAGTGCCTCTGAGACCTGCTCCTCACTGACTCTCAGTGCCACCCACACAGACCTCGCACCCAGGCTAACCCTTTCCAGCCACAGCTTCTGTCCCTCCCACTTCCTGTTCAATTGTTCACCCTCCTGCCCGCAAGCCCTCCTGCAGTCGTCCTGGAGAATCCCACGTCCTTGGGACACAGTCTGGTTTTTTTTCTCTGACTTGCCTTCCTTGGTCATGCTCAATAAAGTGCCCATTCTTCAGATTCCCAGGAGAGTCAATTTGTGCAGTTGATTGCTGACCTTTCCCCACACTGCCTGGGGTTGTGTACATGTGTGTTCCGTTTCATTTTCATTTCCCTCGGGCCACTGCATCCTCATGGAGGCCTAGGCAAGTGCCTTGTCTACACTGCCTCCGCCAGGCAGTCAGTGAGGGCTGTTAGGAACTGACTAGGGACACAGTGACTGAAAAATGGAGGTGTGGAGAGGTCAGAGCACTAGACAGCCACAGGTAAATCTGGGGTCACACCAGGTGCGGGTGAGGACAGCCCTGCCACTTCTTCCATGGGACCCCTGGACTGTCCCTGGGATCAGAATAGCCCTCCCATGTGGGAAAGCTTCTGGGAAGGCTGGCTGAGAGCTGCAAGCACTGCTGTGGAAGATGTCATTGTTTTGGTCTATAAAGAGTTGTTTCTGAGCATGCAGGGTGAGTGTCACCTTAGAATGGCAAGATTGTACCAAGGGCAGGAGACAGCACAGTGGTTGACAGAATTTACCCTACGTGCTTGGGGACGGGGGCCAAAAGGGAACTTGTAAGTAACACCTCATAAATATGTGTGACTGTGTGGTTCTGTCTCCCTCCCCACAGAACAATATGATCCGCCTGCCAAAACCCACCCCAGTTCTCAGCAAGGAACATCGTAAGTAAAATGCCTTTGTTTATTCAGAGTTAAGGCATGTGTACCACCAGAGAATATGCTAAGGGGTTAGCTGAAAAGAGGGAGTTTTGGGCTGTTACTTACATACTGACTGTGGAAAACAGTTTGACTTCTGACTTTTTAGTCAATAGTGTTAGCTTTTAGAAATAAATTTTGGGGGAACGTGTACAATATGAGATTTTCTGCCACTTTTTTGGCCTAGTTTTACTAATAAGGATCCAGCTCTGTTACCCAACTGTTCTTTATTAAGGCCAAGCAAGTCCAGATATATTTTGGATTTGGGGAACGTTTATACTTCATATTATAGATTTTTAATTCTGCATTTGACCCACTTCACTTCTTGAAGGTATTGAACTAGTATTTTCTTTGCTTTTCTACCCCAGGAAGTGGCTATTCGGGATGAAGAAGGAGCCCTGTCTCCTTCCCCCAGTCTCTGATGAGCATTAGCTCACTGGGTTGCTAGACAGAGCAGTTCAGGTGCACCAGGAGCTCAGGCTCTATTTTCGGCACAGTATTTGTTCCATATATTTGGGAGGTGGGCTTGCTGTGGATTAGTTTTAAAACTATAGTTGAGCTGAAGAGGTTATTTTATCTAGTTGCTCTGACTGAATGTGGGACTGGGTTAAATAATTGTTCCCATTCCCAGGCGCCAGCTCCCTGATGCAATTTGTTTTCATTTCAACATACCAAAGTGAGCAAAAAAGAACAGTGTGAGCAGTTGATGTTTTTATTTTGTTTTGTTGGTGCTGGTGATCTAATTCAGGTTTTGTGTATACTAGGCAAGCACCCTACCAACTGAGCTACATCCCTAACCATTTTTTAGTAAAGATAAATTTATTATAGGTTGAAGGATGAATTTTTTCCCCCCCTGGTTGTACTAGGGATCAAACTGAGGGCCTTCCCACTGAGCTACATTTTAGTTCTTTTTATTATTTTTTATTTCATACATGGTTTCACTAAGTTTCCCAGGCTGAGCTTGAACCTGTGGTCCCTCTGCTTCAGCCTCCCAGAGTGCTGGGATTATAGGCAGGTGCCAGACCTGTTTGAAGGATGGATTTTTCCTTGCAATCAGAATGTATTTTAATTGTGACACCAACAGATAAGTTTTGTTTTTTATTTCCCTTACTAGAGAAAAAATGTATAACCTTATGTCAGTCATCCCTTTTTCTGTTTCACCTTTTCATTGTGGAAATTTTGCTGGTCTCTAAATTCTGCACTGCACATTGGCTGTGTGGGTGGCTGGAAAAGAGAAGAGGCTGCAGGTCCAGGACCACAGCCAGGGCTTCCAGGTGACTGTGCCTTGCTCTCCTGGGGCTGCTTGCGCTGCACCCATACCCTGTGACCACAGAAGCTGGGCCCTTCTCTGGGGTGTCAGCAGGGGAGTCAAAGGCCACTGTCCTGGCTGGCCAGATAAAGGGGCGGTGTGGGTGAGCAGCTGCACCCAGAAGGAAGTGGCTGTGACCCTGGCCTGTGTTTCACAGAGAACCAGCCTCAGACTGGTTTGCAGAAGCTAAGCTTCCCTTCCCATAGCTCAAAGGTGTGATGGGGATGTCCCTGGGGTTGGTACAGCTGTACCTTATCATATGAAGTGCTACCTTCCTAAAAGCTACTCATTAATGTCATCTCAGATAGTCTAGGACAGTATTAGGGGTGATCCCAGTGAGCAGGAAAGGGTAAGATGGTCCTGGGAGGGCAAGAAGAGAGAAGGGTTTCTGTAAGGATCACTGAGGCTGGGAAGATAGGAGGGTTATATGTGGTTGGGGCCAGCTGACAGGTGCCAAAAAGAGGTGCTCTGATGAGCTCATTGTCAGTGGAGACTGGGTGAAAGTGGTGTCCCATTTAATTTGTGAAGTGATCATTAAGTCTCCTACTGAGCACGGGCTAATTTGACCTAGCATCAGCTCTGGGTTTCTTGCGTACAGTCCAGCTGCTTCAGGGACAGCTGGATGCCAGGGAGGTAGCTTGGTGCATTCAGCATGTCTGGACTTCAGTTTACCAAATCAGTCCATAGCTTCATGCTTTTTCATTCCGTTACTTTGTTTTTTCAGCAAAGGTCTCATTATGTAGTGCAGGCTGGCCCTGAATGTGATGTGTAGGCTGGCTGGCTTCAAACCTGCAGCAATCCTCCTGCCTCCATCTGCTGGAGTGCTGGGATTACAGGTGTGTGCCACCACACCCAGCCTTCATTCCGTTATTAATACTACTTAGAAGTCCTTAGAAAATGGAATAATACACATAAGAAGAATAAGGAGGGCCCAGTAGTAAGGAAAAGGCTGTGAAAGATGTGTATTAACTTTGAATCTGCCCACACTGAGTGAGGGCAACAAAGCATAGAAGGATGCCTGTGTGAAATACCTGCTGGACCCACTGCTTTTTCATCTCCATGTGTTAAGCCCTAGTTGTTTTCTGAACAGTCCCTCTGCAGAGGTCTGCAGGTATCTGACTAGCTAGGATGTTAGTGCTGTTTGCTACCATGTTCAGGAGAGGTGTACTTGTGAAAGGCTGGCTCCTGGCTTTAGAGTCCTCTTCCTGCCCAAGATGTGGATCTGTGATTCTCAGGGGATATGCAGAGAGTTTTCTTTTTCCATGATTATCACACACCTTTTGTAATTGTGAGCAGCTCCTTTCTGTGTGTCAAGATCCAGGGATAATTTGATAGTACTTTACAAACTGTAAAGTGGGTCATATGTATTGTTGCTGTTAATATTCTTCTGTCCTCTGACCTTGAAAATTGCTAAATCCTTATAAAAAGGTACTCTCTTTTGGTTTCTCTCTGAAATTATGGGTGCTTTCTTAGAATAAGAAAGAGAAATTAGTTGTGACAGCAATTTGAAGTTTTATTTGTGTGGAAAGTTGCCTTGGAAATGAGAGAAATCTCTGGATGTGAAGGCTGGGATTGGGATTGTTCCTGGAGTTGGAGGAGGAAGAATGCAGAATTAAGAAAGGTGAGGATGAATCTGATACTTTTGAAAATGAACCTGAGTTTTCAACTTTTCTCAAAACATCATGGGTTTTAAAGTATCTGGGTAAAGAACTATGGAAGACCAATCATTCTATCAGTGTTGCAGTATAAAATCATCACAACAGGGCATGGTGACTGTCAAATGGTGCTAAATATCCTTCAGAACTAAGTCTGAAGAAATGGCTTCCTTGGCCAGTTAATTTAGATCATATTTTTTTTTTCCTAAGGAAATTGATTTTCTTCTCTTGTTTTTAAATGATAACTTGTACAATTGAAGATGTTTTACCTGGATTTTAAATTTTTCATTTACAGCTCTAATTGAAAGTACTATTTTCTTTCTTATAGAGACTATCAAAAAGAAATAGCAGGAAACAATATAGAAAAAAACCCTAAAAAGTGATAGTGGAAACTGCCTGGTGAGCAAGCTCACATATTGTCACTGAGGTGTATCCCAGTGCCTTATCCACCATTTTTTTAGCTCCCTGAAAACAAAGAGCAGACTTTGCTCTGGACACTCCAGCAGGTCTGCTGAATCATCAGAACAGAGCATTCTTAAGAATTTTCAGTGCTCTGTACCTGGCATTTCTGGAAGAGGATGTACTCTATTTGGAAGTGATTGAGACTCCAGGCTTGTGAATGTACATAATTATATTGGTAGCCCACATACAGAAGGAAGTCTTTATGTTTATTTTTAATAAGAAAGGACTAGAAGTGTAAAATGAAGGACAACAAGGATTTTCCCTCCCTGCCACCCTCCCTCCCATGAGTTCATATTACCCAGGCTAAGGAGAACTGCACATTTTTAAGATTGGCCCTTGAGAAATTTCTGTTATAAAGTCAAACAGAACCATTCTGTGCAATGTTCAGAGATCCATTAATTCTCGATTACAGTTCCTAGAATACATTAAATCAATAACTAGGAAATATTGGAATCCCCAAATGTAGAGTGGCCTCATTTTGTAATCTGCACTGCTGGCTCCCGTAACTTCAGATCCTGGTGGAAGAGTCCCTTGGAATGCTTAGTGTGACTCTTGGATTAGTACTGTTCACCTTTAGTGAACAATATTCCTAAGATCCCTTAAGCTCATGTTGAAGGGATATTCTGAGGAGGCTTACACAAGGCCTACTGTAGTCATTTAAAAGTGTTGAAGTGCTGGAGAGTTGTCCTCTTCTCAGAATTGCTTCAGCACTCTCCCCACCACAGTAATTGATGTACCATTGCAGGCAGTGTTCTGGGAGCTCCCTGTAGAGCAGCGTGTGCTACTGCACTTGACCTTAGACCAGACAGAGGTCAAGTAAAAAGGAGAAGAAAAAAATTTATCAAGTGCTTGTTATATAATAGGTAAGTGTTAAATAAGTTGCCGCTTATGGTACTGGGAAAAAACTATCCTTCTTGTCCTTTTTAAAAATTTTATTGGTACAATTTAAGTATGCAATATAATGACACTCATCATTGGAAATTTGTACCTTTACATAAACTAGCTTGGTTCTTATTTTTTCCCCTTTCCCCTGCCCTCCCTTCCTCCTTGTTCTTAAACATACCCTTGACCAATATAGCTCAGATAAATAGTATTCTAAGCCCTTACTCTGGTCTGAGGGGCTCCTTCCTCCTCCCTTGAGCCATTTAGCCTGTAATTATGAATGGCTGTGGTCCTGGTGGTGCTTTAGCTACCCAAGGGAGGCAGTGGCCCATCAGATAACGTTATCCTTGGCTGCATTTTGAGACTAAAGGTCGATCAAATATAAAACTGAACCAGGTGATGATGCTGATGCTGGTGGTGTTTTGGTGTTTTGGGCTGGGATGTTCAAGGAATGAGATCAGCGAGGTCTCAGAGGAGGTGATTTTTGATCTGAAGGCCACACTAATTGCCACAACCCTGAAGGCATGCAACCCTCAGGGAGTAATTCTTTTGGTCAGAGGACTTTCTAGTTGATTTGTTTATGCAAAATCTGATTTCAGGGCAGATCTTGAGGATTCCTTTAAACTTATGTGAGTCATCAAAGAAGAAATGTTGTAATTATCTAAGAACTGGTTAGCCTTAGGGCAGTTTTTACATTTCATCCTGTCTGGGCAGTTGAGCCATGCAGGTGTGCTACTTTCACAAAATATCCATACTTTGGCCTCTGTTTTGTCAAGGAGTCCTCCAAGACTGTCTGTATTCCCCTAGCTGCCCCGCACAGTTTCCCTCTGGTCGCATACGCTGGGCCCCACTGTTGTCTTGGGTGAGAGCCCTTAGCAGTATGTGCTGCGTAACCACCTTGTGTAAAACAGCGTCCCTTCCACAGCTAGGTCACCCATTGGGAAAGTGTTTTCATTCATCTCCCTCCTCTAGGCTCTGAGAGCCACAGAACAGGAGTCGTTGTCTGCTCACGCTTGAACCCACAGGCTGTTTGAGGATGCCTGGTGCTTGGTGTTCGGAGCCAATATGGAAGGAAAGATACTGTACACAGACTTGGTGGGATACAAGTGAATGATAGGGAATACACATGACTTTAATAATTTTTCTAGATTTTGTATCTAGTTGAAAGTGTGTCACTAGTATATTGTTTGTCTACTTATTGATTTAACTTCAAATTTCCCTTTATTCATAGTCTTGTGATTTTTTCCCCCCATGTCTTCATTTGACCTCAAGATCTTCACTCACTCATGGAGTTTAAATAATCTTTTAAATTTCCAGCAATGACTTCACCCTTGCTCACCATTCAACTGTTTGACTCCATTAATCAATCGTGCCCCTAGTTGATGTCTTCTCCATCCTGTTGGGCCACCCTCGGCTGCAGGCAGGGTCTCCCTATGTTGGGATTTGCCTCCTTTGTTCTGTCCCTGGTGCATGTTACTATAGCCACTTAGGATCTGCTCTCCTGCTTTCTCATTTGTGGTATGTAGAGCCCTCTTCCTAGTGTGTAAAAAATTCCTGTCATCTCCTGCAAGGCATTTGCAGTCCTTATTTCTGTACTGTGTCCAGGAGGATTTAGAACCTGGTGGAGCTGAAATGCTGAAAACTATGGCTGTGTGCCAGAGCCAGCCTCTTCCTCCTCCTCCCTTCCTGTGCTGCTTGTCCACCAAGATTGGTTTCAGGCCTGGGAGATGCAGGCTTATACACCTGCACATGCTTGGCAGTGGATTCTGGAAAGCATTACTTTTCTTACCATTTTAGGCACATCTAATACTATACCACAGTTGTGATTTATTAATTACAAATGTCTCCTGTGAACTTGCCTTCACTTGCTCTTCTTCAAATAAGATGATCATAAGACAAGGAGACAGTTTCCTTAAGTAGTTTTTGGGTTCTAAATTGATAAGTTACAGAAAATTGGCAGTGTTTGCGTTGGGTGAGTCCGGCCCTAGGAAATGAAGAGAGAGAAGGGTCGGGCTGACTCTCAGAGCTGCCTGTCAGGACTTGTACAGGGCTCCCTTGGCAGCCTGGAGAAAGAATCTGGATAAAGGTGGAGGATTGTTTTGTGACTTTTACCAACCAGCAATGTCATAAAGGGCCAGCCCTCCAGTTACTATTCCTGGGCAACTTGGCTTTTCTAGAACAGAGCCAAAGCACACTATATTGTGTCATATGCTCTGAAATAATTGTCTTGCCCTTGGTTAGGAAATGGATTGTTATTTGACCAGTTAGTATGTAAGCTTAAAAGTTCATTTATTTTTATAAAGTAAATATTTACTTTATTCCAGGAGGGTACTAGTGCTTTATTCTGAGTTGGCTCTTCCTCTGGGTGTATTCAGGAATTTGTGTTGATCCCATCTATCAGCCTGTGTGTCACATGTTGGCCTGAGCATGGGGCCTCGTACAGATGGAATGGGCTCTGCACCCTGGTGCAGCTTGTGCCGTTGTCACGATCTCAGACACAGTAAGCAGCTGTTCCCCCACTTTGGGACATAGGATGGTTACAGCCCTGGGCAGGACCTTGAGCATTGGCAGTCTGCATGGAGGGCCTGGTACCTGTGTGATGCTGTTCGCTCAGCCATCTCTGCACCGCCCCTGCCAAGGTGACTTGGCCCTGCCCAGTGGCCCCTGGTGTGGATGGGGAGCCGTCCTGGGCCTGTGCTGACCTGACCACAGTTTCCATGTGTGAGCAAGACGATCTGAGAGTTCTTGATCCTCACTTAGTGGGGCATAGGTGCTCAGCCGCCAGGTGTGACGTGAGTCCGCTCCTGTCCTATACAGATGGTCCGTGCCTAGCCACAGATAAAATCCCCAGGGGACAAGTAGGGGCCTTCAGCAGCTAGTAAACTATTTCTAATCTTCAAAAATCCTCCACCTGTGACCAGACTCCATTTTCCACATCTGTCTCAGTTCTGGTTCTGTGTTTTAACTCAGAATGGCATGCTTGATTTTCCCTTGTACCAAGTCTTGCTTAGGAATTTTAGTAACTTCTCATTGAGCCATGCAAGTAGTACACGTTTCTTACCTAAAACTTGGGAAGATGTCTCTCACTCCCTCCCACCCCCATGGCATGCTGGTTTGTGTGGAGTCACTGCCTCGAGTGACATCATCAGTGTTGGTGTCAGGATGATTTTGTGATTACTGTTGGCTGGTTCAGCAGCGCCAGCACAGCACCTATGTCTGATAAGATCTGTTTATGCTCTCTTACATAAATAATGCAAATTTTTATTAAGTGAAATGTTCAGTGTGTAAATCCTAAGTATGTCTTCAATAAGTGATAGGTTTCATTTGACCATGTTGATTTATCTCTCTTTTTTTTTTTCCTAAAATATCTCTTGGGATTTGTTTTTGTGAAATGGGACCTTGCAACATAACCCAGGTTGGCCTTAAACTCTCCGTGATCCTCCTGCCCTGGCCGAGGCACGTGTGGGCCCGCCACGCCCAGAGTCTCTGTCCCCACTGTTAGGACCTGAAAAGCTACCTGCAGGCTTATTTTACTGCTGTGTGTGTAATTCTCTGAAGCAGAAATTCCAGAGTCTGGGAAAGCAATTTCATACCACCTGCTACTCCCCAGGCACAAATGCAGCTTAGAGCAAGGGGCTTTTTCCCGTATACTATTCACTGTAATTGCTAACTCCAATCCCAATAATTAAAAGCTTTATTTCCAGCCTTGCTAAAATAGGAGTTTAGCTTCTATTTGATAAATATTGAGCAAGATCTACATTTACAAGTATCTGACAGTTTTCATTTTATTTAGAAATTTACCATGGTATGTTTTTAGTTCATTTGTTGATGAAAGTAGTGCGTTGGCAGAATTACTACATTGCATGTAGGTGGTCATTTATGAAAATATCAAGTTCTGTTGCTTACTTTCATGACAAAATACAGTCATTTTTTACCAGGGTTTCCTCTAATAACATGCCTGTTTGCTTCAATGGAAGTAGTGATTTTTCAGTAAAAATTGTTGGTCAGATTATTGATGAGCTACTTTTTAGATATACTGAATGATTTTTAATTTCTAATATAATTGGATTTTTGGAACATCAGTAATACTCAGGCAGGCTTTTTTTCCCCCTCTTTTGAGTTTTACTTGCAAAATTTCCTCAGGTTTATAAGATTGGAGAGAAGTGGGAGGCAGCAATACTGAGTCACTCCTTTGATGTCTGGGCATCTCTTTGGATGATGTTAAATTCGAGGGAGGTGTCAAACTTTCAGAAAACAGGCAGTTGGAAAATGTTTGATTTTAGGTTGATTGTAAGCCAGAATACTTGAGGATATAACTATTCCTAAGTTTGAGGAAATGAACAGACTTTTTTCACTGGACCAATAGCAATAAATTTAAAGCATGCTCTCTCCACAAAAAATACCGTTTGTCTTACTGTCTTTGCCAGTGATGAGTGTTCTAGCAGAAAAAAAGAATAATTTTTTGCATTTGAAAAGTAGACCTCAGCCGGGTGACTCATGCTTATAATCCCAGCACTGGGAATGCTGAGGCAGGATTGCCACAAGTTCATTGCCAGCGTGGGCAACATAGTGAATTCAAACCTGGATTATATAGTGAGACCCTGTCTCGGGAAAAAATAAAAGAAAAATAGATCTCAGGGGATGGGGATTTTAGCTCAGTGGTTTCGCCGCTTGCTGCACAAGCACAAGGACCCGAGTTCAATCCCCGGTACCAAAAAAAAAAAGAAAGAAAAATAGATCTCAGTATTAATAATGTCCTCTGGACGAAAGTGGAATATGGTTGGTGACAGTTGTGTGGATTCATGTATCTTACTGTGCGTTCTACTTCTATATAACACTCATCGTATGCTTTACAGATACCTGATGTTTAGTCCTGCAGTGGTCATGTATTCCATTTCACTCAGAGACTGTGGTGTGGGCTTTTCTTTTTCCACCTGTTTATAGTTTGTGCAGTCCCTGTCCTCACTGATAAAGGCTGGGAACCAGGTCTCAGGGCAAACAGTGAGCCCCTTTCTGGTCTTTTCAACATGTGTGGAAGGGCGGGTTTGAGATGGTAAAGGGCTTGGACTGAACTGGCTTCTGGTTAAAATTGTAAAGTGTCTCCAGGAAAAGAAGGCATTCAGTGGGCAAAAAAGCATATTCCTATCCCATGCCTCCTTTGTCTCATAGGCTGTTTCCTGTTTGCTGTATGTGCTAAAAAGGATACTACTAGACAGGGTCTCTGATGCTCTGTCCTTGCCATTGCAGCATGCTTGAAAACGACCTTCAGCTCAGTGACAGTGAGGACAGTGACACAGAACAAGTAAGTTTTGCACCTCATGACACCCAGAGTCCTGTTAAATCCACCTCCAGTATCTGAGCTGCTGTCCTAACCTGTTTTTTGTTCTTTCCTGGTCCTTCTTCCCCTTATTGTGAATGCCTAGACCCCAGAGAAGCCTCCTTCCTCAATTGCACCTCCAAGGTACGGTCTGGGGTTTCTCCCCTCTGTCCAGCAAGCTTGCGTGTCTTTGCCACATGGGGTAAAAGCCTTACTTGAGTGGTTCATGGTTCCTGCAAGGGGAAGGAGGTGGAGGGTCACAGCTAAGGGAGAAGCCAGTATAGCATTGTGCGTCCTCACCTCCGCACAGGGAGGTCCCTAGCCCATAACCTGAAAGCATCCCTCACCCACCACAGCACCATTTGAGAATTGAAAAATTAAGTTTATCATCACTATTATATATATATATATATATATATCCAGTACTTGAAAAGTCAAGCTGAAGAGTGAAGAGCCCAATGCTTTTTTAAAACTATGTTTTCAAATTTTATAAACCTGAATTTCTTGGTAGAACGTGTTTTCTACTGTGCTGGTTTTCTCAGTTACATGAATTTTCAAATTATTTCAGCTGCGTTAAAATATGACCTGCAGTTCATTTTTATGTACTAAAAAATGACACTGTTTTCACTTGTTTAAAGAAACCAGCCAGATTTTAGAAAATGTGATGCTTTTAAGTTTTGAAAGTGGGGATTATCTGACATTTCCTTTTAATAAACTTAATGATTTAACGTGTCGAATACCTGCCTGTCACGGCTGAAGAGTCAAGTTCATTGGCTCGTCTGAGATGTGCCCATGGATTCAGAGCTAAGACAGCAAAAACACTGTGGCCATCACAGAGGTGATGTAGGGATGGGTGCCCATGCAGTCACAGCCTTACAGGTTTGTAAGGGTTGTTTGTTTAGTCCCAGTTGTGTTAGAATATCTAATAGGTCAGGTCAGCTCATAAAATATGACCAATTAGTCTAATTTAAAAGTAAAGGAAAAGCTAGGAGTGGTGGCGCACGTCTATAATCCCAGCGCATGGCAGGCTGAGGCAGGAGGGTTGCTATGAGTTCAAGGCCAGCCTGGGCTACATAGTGAGTTGATGGCCAGCCTGCACTGCTTAGTGAGACCCTGTCTAAAAAAAAAAAGCCACATACACACACCAAAAAAAAGTGTAAGGAAAGGCAAAGCAAACCAAAGACAGAGATAAATTGGAGGCAGAAGTCCAGTTGACAGTGTCTTCTTCTGGTGCCCCGGCTCAAGTGCTGCCGTGTCAAGGTGTTCCGGCTCACACGGTTGACGCCACATTATATGTGGACCCTGGATAGTGGTACAGTGTGTTTGTCCTAAATTTACCTGTCTGAGTAATTTTTACTCAAATGCTGTATATGCTATATAATAATTTACTTTGCATATAGGTAGGTTTGGTTTCAAGATTATATATAGTTAATGCTGGGCATGATGGTGTATGTCCATAATCCCAGTATTTGGAAGGCTGAAGCAGGAGGATCACTGTGAGTTCAAGGCCACTCTGAACTATATAGTGAGATCCTGTCTCAAAAAAAAAGACAATAATTTGTTACTTTAGCTAATACCATCTGGGGCAGTGTTTTACGATTGTTTTAAAATTCTGTATGTGTCTAGCCATGATCATCAGTATGCTTTCTCGTGGACTGAGAGTTCCCACCCTCTTCTTAAAACCTGGCATGCTCATAATTCCACTCAATAAAAAGAGATGGATTGAATTTTAGCTCACCCTCCAAAGGAACAGTGTTTACAGTTGGTGGTCTTTGGTTACCATGTGGTCAGTTCTCAGAAAAAAGATGTAGGAAGAATAACTTACTGTTTTTTCTTAGAAGTTCTTTTGCTTATGTATGGTAGGGGCCTGCATACTTAAAGGGCCAGACAGTAAATATGTTGGCCTTTGTGGGCCACAAAAGCCTGTTACAACCACTCAGTGCTGCTCCTGGGGTGCCCTGTGAGCACGGGTATGGGTGGTGGTCCAATAAAATTTTATTTAGAGAAACAGGCATCCTGCCCAGGCCCTGGTTAGCCCAGTCTCTAACGTAGCTCATGTACAGCCTGACCTGATTTTCAGCAGCTGGACCCCATAGGCTTCTCTTAAGCAGTTATGAATTGGTTTAAGGATTTGGATGCTTTTTAGGCCACAGCAGGCCCCCCCTCCACCAGCTGATGAGGCATTACTGAGGCCATTCCTTGAGGAGCAGAAGAAGAGGCAGGGGGTAAAGCAGGCAGAACTCGGCCTTGCACTCTGTGTTTTCTAATTTTATCCTTGGTTGTTTTGTAGCACTGCGCCGTTGCTGCCGGAGCTGGTGGCCTCAGCACATTCCAGCAGTGCAGAGTCAGAGAGCACCAGCGACTCTGACAGCTCCTCCGACTCAGAGAGCGAGAGCAGCTCAAGTGACAGTGAGGAGAATGAGCCCCATGATGCCCCGGCTGCAGAGGTACTGTGTCCTCAGCAAGGCCTGGGACCCAGGCGCTGTGCCCATGGGTGACCTGTCTGCTCCTGGGCTGTGTGTTTACTTATTTCTCACTGGACTTCTCTCCAAAGTGAGAGGCCCTTCTCTGTTGCTGCTAGTGCTGTTCAGAAGAGTAGCTCATCAAGAATGTTTGCAAACTGTTTTCTTTCCCCTTCTTTCGCAAATGAAAACTTGCTTCCCATAGGCTTCCATGTAATATTTATGAGAATGCTCTTTGAAACTTCAGGAATGCATGAATTAAGGACAGTAGAGGAGACTGAATTAGCAAACACAGCCATGTGCACTGGACAGAAGTCCTCAGGAGTTCTAGTTTTGAATTCCTCAAAGCTGAGCATGAAATTGATGGCAAAGTGTTTTTTCCAGAGCACTATTCTTGCTCCCTTCTGCTCTGTGTAAAACCGGATATTTGTGTTTGCTTGCACCTCCCCAGGAGACTCTGCAAGAGGAGCAGACCAGCAGACTGCGTTCTCTGGGGATGAGCACCCAAAAGAGACTAAAAGTCCCAAGCACTGAGTCTCTGGACAGTCATGCTGCATACTGACACAGGCATTGTTAGAACAGATAGCAATGCTGCCAGATAACTTAGAACTTGGCTAGAAGTGTAAGGCTCTGCTGGGGAACAGTAGTGCAAAGGGGTGCCATTTAATTCTCAGTGAATAGCACCAGACCCTATAGAGAAACTCAGCTGCATGTGCACACAGGCAGTAAGGTTTGCTGTGTTCTCTGTGCTCTTCAGGAAAAAGGCATTTCTGCCAGAGCATTAACCGGACATGTCTGGAGATCAGATGGTGAGACGTAGGGCCCCCCTGAGGGCAGGGGAGGCCGAGAAAGCTGGTGTCATCTTTGCTTGGCTGTGGCACAGTGTCAGTGCCCAGTACTGTTCAGAATGCATGGGTGTAGATCAGCAGGACCTGCACTCCAGGTGCTTTTAGATTTTACCAACTGCTCTGTCTTGCTGAGACTGTCTCCTTGTGTGGGAACTGATAGCTGTTGAAATAATTTTTCTATGCCTCAGGGGACAGGAAATGGAATATACTATGTAGACAGATTGTGTGATGTTCACTATTAGATACATAAGAGCTTTGCTCTGTTTTACCTTTTTAAGTGAGGAAAATTTGCATGCTTGTTAGTATTGATTTAAAAAGGTAATTCAGCTAAATAATACAATTCAAATAAAATCAGAATGGACAAATTAGTCTGAATAATTGAAAATGGAAATTCAATCTGTGGCTTGTAGTAAAGAGATGTAGTTACGTCTCCTCCCTCAAGAGATTACTAGAATAGATTCAGACTCCTAAGTATAAAATAAAGCTCCTGTTCCACTTCAGTTTTTAAACTGTATTTTCTTAAAAAAACTGGGATTTGTATGTTGATGTGGAAATCCAGGCTTATGGAGGGTTCATATATTATATATTGGGCCTGTTTTTCCAGTAATATTTTCTTTGTTTACCTTCAGTATTCCCTAAGGTACTCAGTGACTTTTCTTGTCTTTTGTTTTTTTGGTACTGGGGATCGAACTCAGGACCTTGTGCTTGCGAGGCAGGCGGGCGGAACCACTGAGCTAAATCCCTGGCCCCTTGCCTTTTAAAATGCCTGCCTTCCGGCTGGGAATTTAGCTCAGTAGTTCTGGCGCCTGCCTTGCAAGCGCAAGGTCCCAAGTTCGATCCCCAGTACCAAAAAAAAACAAAAACAAAAAAACTGCCTTCATTTATAAAGGATAATAAGAATTTCATAACGGGCCATAGCTACGAATTTTAACTTTCCCACCTATTTCTATCTTTAATGCTGAGAAGTGACTTTCTGTAGCTGTACTCTAATTAATTTTGTTGGATGGAGTAGGCCCAGGCTCTCAGAGGTCTGAGCATAGTGCATCATTGGCTGCTGAGCTGCAGGGGAAACAGCCCTGTGGATTCTGTTTCCATGTCTGCACTATACTGTGAATCAAAATGTCACTCAGCTTTTCAAAATATGTGGGACATGTAGCCTTTCTGTTGCCTAAAAGTTTAGGAATATTCACAACCATGATTCATTCTAAAATAAATTAACTTTTGCCAGTTTAAATGGTCAAGAGAGATAAGGGACATATGGTCAAACACTTATATTTAAAAAATAATCATCACATTTTCCCCTACTTTGAGCTGCAGTATTTGGGTTGTAGCTGCCCTGGGAGGGCAGAAGCTGAGTCAGGAAAGGCAGAGGGAATGATGAAGAGCCAGATCTCAATCCTATCTGGTACTTAACTACTTGAAAATCATCTCACAATCTGTTTCTAATCAAGCCATTATGCAAACATTTTTCCTGCCTCAGTACTCAAATACGTAATCTTCGTAATCCCTTACCTTATCTATTTTACAACTTCATGTTGGGTAATAAAGATCACCCCTTTTCATTCCCTTCATCCAGGCACCCCAGCTCAATCTGACCCTGAAATTGGGCCATAGTCCTCACTTTTGCACTTTCCCACTGTAATCAGGACATTCCTTTGGGGACAGCTAAATGTATCCCAGGTATGCCCCTGTTCTCAGGGCAGGAGGGGCATGTAACTTAACTAGGAATGACTTTCCCATGGGGTTCACACTTGACTGCTCTTCTGAGGTGCGTGGCAGTGTTGGGCTGCAGCCGTGAATGTAATGGCAGGTGAGACCCATGCCGTGTTGCCTGAGGAAGGGTGGGGCAGGTTTGGTTCCCGCTGCGCATGACCTGTGCTGTGTCCTACAGCCTCCAGTGTCCGCACAGTCGGGTCTCTGCAGGAAATGATGTTGACCTGTGGGTATTGGGCTGATCTTCTCCAACCAAAATGCCTGGCACACAAGGCATTTCTGCTCCTCTTGCCCCTGAGGGTGTGGATGGAGGGTTGCTGTCAGTATAGGAAACTGTTATAAAGCAGCAGTGTGGAGTAAGCATAAAAAGACAAATTGTGCAGTTTCCTGTCCAAACTATGATCCTACCTGGTTTCTTAAAATTTCTTTTTAGTTCTAGTCTGTTAAACTACCTACCAGATCATTTTATTACTTGATGTTTCCCTAACCAAAAAAAAAAAACCTTTACATCATATTTGTATATTTTACAGTACTAGGTCTGCATGTTTTTACAGATTTGAATTACTTTGCTATATTTTACTTAGGAGCATGGTCAGCAATCTTGCCCTTAAAATTCCCCCACCCTGGGGCTGGGGCTCCTACCCAGTGGTAGCATGCTGGAGGCGCTGGGTTGATCTACAGCACAACAGAAACAAAACTCTCTGTCTACTGGAGTGTCTCCTTATCCATAACCTAATAGTTATCCCACATGAAATTTTTTTAGTTGTCTTCCCAGTGCTTTGTATGTATAATTTACTCATTCATACAAGCCTATGCATGACTTAGTCATTCATAAAAACCATCTGTCAGAGTGGATCTTGAGAAAAATGAAGCAAGCCAGTGAAAGACTGCCCTTAAAAAAACACAAAACACTAAAGTCATCATTTGCTCAGTTGGACACTCATGTTTTTCTACATGATATACAGTGCCAGGGCATTGAAGTGCTCAAACATCTTGTCTCTACCACAGTATGCAAGATCCAAGGTGCCATAGCTGGGAGGTGGAGGTATCTCTGTCCTTTTGTTCAGATCTCACAGTGTAGCTGAGAGACAAGGTGACAGCATGCAAGGATAGTTAATTTAGCAGTAACTGTTCAAATATCAGTTAAGATAATGTAGAGACTTCTGCTAGGTGGCCATGTCAGTCACACAGGTGACCAATAAAATCATTGCAGTCCACTGTGTGTTCTGGGACCTCTTTTTGTGTTTTAGCAATGTAGGTGCTATTTCAGATCACACTGCCTGGAGCAAGAAATTTTCTATTATTTGTTTTGTTTTTTTGAGACAGTCTCACTTTGTAGTACAGGCTAGCCTTGAGCTCACTATGCAGCTCAAGCTGGCCTTTCCTGCCTCAGCCTCGAGTGCTGCAATGAGAGGCATTCCATTCCAGTCCATAGCAAAAAACTTAATGTCTGACTTTACAGAATCCAAGTGAGACTAAAGCTTGGCTGTGTGACTTCACTTGACTTTTTTCAGGGGTAAAATGTGAAAATCAGTACGTGTTTGTGACACAGTCATAATCTTGTCACATATGAATGTCTGTTTTTAAGTAGAGAAATGAAATAATTTTGAAGAAAAGTCATTTGCAATAGCATGATACCCAGGGGTAATTGCTGAAAAAAGGTATTTCACTCATAGCTGCTTTCTGAAAAGCCTTGCTGGAGGTCATCTTTGTCACTCTCTCAGCGCCCCCCCCGCCCTTTGGCAGTGCTGGGGATTGAACCCAGGGCCTCTTGTGCCTGCCAAGCAAGTGGTCACCACTCACCCACACCCAGCCCCTGCCCCACTGCTTATTTTGTTTTGAGACAGAGTCTTCCTATGTTTCCCAGACTGGCCTTGAACTTGTGACCCTCCTGCCCTAGCCTGCAAGTAGCTGGGATTACAGGCATGGGCCACCAGCCCGACTGAATTCCTCTTATTTTCTAACAGTAGCCTTTATAAGCCAAAAAGTATATCAGTTCTGTTTACCATCATTTTGCTAAAGTAATTTTTTTTGGGTACCTTTTGGTACCAGGGATCGAACTCTGGGACCTTGCGCTTTCGAGGCAGGAAGCAGAACCGCTGAGCTAAATCCCTGTTTACCATAATTTTGTATCATCATTTCCAATCGAAGCAAGGATTATTTTTAGAATTTTTATTAGTACACGTTTCACAGTACACTGATTACATTCATCATGGGGGGTTGGTACATGTACAGAATGCATCTTCATTCTTTTTACTTCCTCAAGGATTTATATCACAGATTTCTCAGCAGTTGTCAGTGACCTATTATCTACTGTATCAATTCCCAGCACAGAGACACAGCTTACTGTATTTGAAGAGTTGTTAGACAGTCTTTTAGTTTGAGGAGGATGAACAGAATCTGAAGTAAGGTCTGAAAGGATTACTTCTTTGGGGACAGGCCTGTCGTTGGGCACATTACAGAAGAGTTTATCAGCACTGCTCAGCTAACACTCCTTTCTGTTTCCTGATTTCAGCCAGAGCCTCCAACAACTAACAAATGGCAGCTGGACAACTGGCTGAGCAAGGTGGGCCAGCCGGCTACGGCCCCTGAGGGCCCAGGCAGTTCAGAGCCTGAGAGCCGCAGGGGCCAGCAGGGTCACAGCGACAGCAACATCAGTGCCACAGGCCAGGCGCCTGCTGAGCCCAAAGCCCCACCCCCGAAGAGCAGCAGGGTGCCCCGGGGCCCCGCCGAGGGCCCCCACACCAGCAGGAGAGGCGGCCACAAGTCCCCAGCACAGCAGGAGCTGCCAGCCAGACAGACCGTGGGGACCAAGCACCCCAGGAGGTCTGCCAAGGCCTTGGCCCTGGCCACAGCGGCGGACACAAGAGCCAGCTCGCAGGGGGACAGGGACCTGGGCCCTGTCCCCTGTGCCCTGAAGGACCCAACCTGCAAAGAGAAGCCCAGGGTGAAGACAAAAGGCAGGCCACGTGCTGGGTGCAGCAGGAATCCTGGACTCACCACGCCAGCGCCTGGGGAAAAGCAGCAGCCAAGGAGCTGCGCCCTGGTGCCCACCAAGGACAGCACGGGGGCCCCAAACCCTGAGCCCTTTGTGCTTGTCCCCTTGGCGCAGGTTCAGGCCCAGGCTCAGGGCAGTGGCAGAACTAGTGGCTGCCGGCAGGCCGTGGTGGTCCAGGAGGACGGACACAAGGACACACTGCCGCTGCCCTTAAGGAACACCAGGGTGCTCTCGCCGCTCAGGGACACACCTGCCCCCCACACCCTGGTGGTGAAGATAGCACTCGACCTCATCCCCAGGGTACCTCGGCTGCCCGGGAAGGGGGGCCGCCCCAAGAAGCCTGAGGAGAAGCCACCATCCACAGGGCAGAGGCAGGAGCCAGAGAAGAGATGCTCAGACACCCCTGGCAAGGCAGCCAAGAAGAGGAAGGTGGGTGCAGTGCTCCAGTGGGTGGGGACCCAGCTCTGAGGTGTACCAGGCGGGCGAGGTTGGGAGTCCCCCGTGCCTGCTTCCTTCTCCCCAGCCACTCACTCATCAGGTTTCCATTGCGTATGGAGGACACTTCATCGCTTAGGTAGAGTGGCATTTTGAGATTTAGTTTTTCCTTGTGCTGGGGATCAACCCCAGCGCCTTTGGGTTCTACTTTTGAGCTACACTCCCAGCCCCGAGGGCATGTTGTTGTGTGTGGAGATAACCCTGGGATTTAATGTTTGGTCCATTTGGTTTGCCTAGAAATTAAGATCTTACATGAATTGAAATGTTTTAGTATTCAGAATTACTGAAAGAGCTGCTGTGTGTGACTTTTATTTCTAGCGTGTGTGCTCTTTTCCTTTTTTGATGGCTCTGTGATGTGAACCCAGGGATGTGTGTGTGCCAAGCAAGTGCTTTACCACTGAGCTCCAGCCACTTTTTAAGATTGATTTTGAGACAGGGTCTCTTATTTGCCCAGGCTGGCCTCAGACTCTCAGTCTCCCTGTTGAGGGGGACATTGCAACATCTGTCATTCATTATGATTTTTGTAAGTTTTGTGGAAGGATTGGTCATAGTTTTTTTTTTTTTTTCCTTTACAAAAAGGGAAAATCCCTGCATTCTTTAAAACTCTCTGTGTGTTGGATAAATCAGTGTTTTGTAGAGTCTCCTTGCCTTTTTTCCAAATCATTGAATTCTGGATCTGTTTCTGCTTTTTTATGATGATGAAAAGTTAAGTGTTCCCCAGTGGCTTTCTTTCCTGAGCCCACCTGTCCAAGATCCCAAGTCAGAGGCATTGGAAGGGCCAGTTCACTCCTGCTTGGAAGGGAGGACACTTTTGACACTTGTGTATGTGTATGAGAAGCATTGTACTCAGCTGTGGGAGTTGGCTAAGAATAACAGAGGTGAAATGGTCATGGAGCTGCTGAGATCAGCTAATTAATCCACTAGGTTAAAAATGTAACCCAACTTTACCGCTCAGTAAAGAGCACCTTTCCCTCCAGAACCCTGTCTCATGACATGGCCTCCCATGCGACTGCCTCTGCAGCAGCCAGGCTGAATGGGCCAAGTTGAGGGTCACCAGTGGTGCTGTGCCAGCTAGAAGAGGGCAGAGTTCACATGAGAGAGCTCTTAAAGCTTGAGAAAGGGGTGTGTGTGTGTGTGTGTGTAAAGTATACTAAGCTCATGGAGGAAATTGCAATGAGCCTGGAGGAGCCTCAGTTTTCAGCTCAGTCCATCCTATCACAAGTGAATAGGCATTGTGCCATTGCAGAAGGGGAAGCTTCTAGCTTTGCCTTTGGTTATGAGAACCGTGCCCCTAGAAGCCCTTGAAAACTAGGGCAGCACATGCTTTCTTTTTTTTTTTGGTACTGGAGATTGAACTCGGGACCTTGCCCTTGTGAGGCAGGCAACAGAACCACTGAGCTAAATCCCCGGCCCAGCACATGCATTCTTAATTTGAGCAATGGAAGATTTGGTCCCCTTGTGTTAGGAGCATGATTTTTTTTTCCATACCTAAGGATTGAACCCAGGGCTTTCACACTAAGGTACTTCACACTAAGCCCTTTAAAAAAAATTTTTTTTTTTTTTTAAATTTGACTTAAGTTCTCACTAAATTGCCTGGCTGGGCTGGGCTGGTACTATAATCCTCCTGCCTCAGCCTCCCAGAGAGCTGGGATTGCAGCCCTGCACTGCCTTACCAGGTTCAGTGCATGATTTCTTTGAAACTCTGGCAGGCAGCCAAGAGATCTGACCCAGAACAGGCTGCCTTGGCTACCTTAATCTCTGTGGGAAGGTGTTATCACTGAACCTAACTAGTGGCGCCACCCCCAACCCCAACCCCCCTGCAGGTTTGAAATTCCTTCATTGATCTTGGTTCCCAGCCTGGTTGGGGGAACCCCTGGGGCTGAGTCTTACTATAGTACCCCAGGCCTTGCAGAGCTGCTGCTTTGGCTGGAGAGATCCTGGGGTGTTTCGTCCAGACAGCCAGACCAAGGCCGCCAGTCTCCTTGCTTGGAGTTTGTTCCTGACCTTGCTCAGAAGCTCTCGGATAAGTGAGCTTAAACAGCAGTCTGCTGCATACTTAGGTCACCAGCAGAGAACCCTGAGTCCTGTGCTTTTCCTTCCTGCTGGACCCCAGGTTGGTGGCACTGAACACCTTGTCCATCTCCAGCCCTGGCCCTTTCATCGGGACCCTGAGCCCCATTAGACAGGCTGTGCCCCTTTCATCAAGATCCCAGTTGATGCCTGCCAGAGGGAGGGCTGTTCTCTAAGCTTGCATCCCTTTTCCCAAATTTGGACCATGAAGTCTTTATTCAAGTGTGAACACTAGACAAACAGCTCCAAAGGTAAAGTCAGAGCCACTGGACGTGTGCCCAAGTGTTGTTATATAAAGGCTCTTTAGAACCTGTCCTCTCCTGGTGTGAAACTTAACAGATGTTTCCAAGGCTCACAGGTCCTTAAAGCCATTTGAGGCTTAACCAGGTGTAAAGGTGCAGGATTGATGGCAGGGGCTGGGGTGCCGCCCATAGGGAGGCTTTGGGTTTGGCCCCAGCACAAGCTCAGGTGGCCAGCAGCTGCTGCGGCCATTAGATATGGACTTTTTACTCCTTTGATGGAGAAGGTGAAGTTTGCAAGGAAATGTGGAGAAATTGTGAGGGTCCCAATTGTGAACTCACACCATGCTTTTTACACAAGCTACTGAACTTTGACAGTTTGATTGCAATTTAGAATTTAAAATATGAGTGTATATTTTCAGATATGCATGCAGTATTGAGGAATGAACCTAGAGCCTTGGCACTGAACTTCATCCCCAGCCCTCCTTTGATCTACAGTGGACTCCTGAAATTCGAGGGGGTTATTTCCTGGAGCACCCACCCATTGTGAAAATCCGTGAATCTCAGATTTGAGCAGAAGAATGCCTATTTTTATAGTTTAAACCCTAAATATGCTATGTCCCCCAGTTATGTAATTTAATAAAATACTGTATTAATTAATAAAGCCTTAGAAGGTGCAGGGCATTTTGGTGACATCTTAGCAATCTTGGGGCTTTAAGAACAAAACCTAGAACACTGGAGATAGCTACACACAGCCCAGCAAACTGTTACGATGAGAGAATGTTGGTACATCTGCTGAGATGGGTTACAGGCCAGGAGCCAGTCACCAGCAAGGAGAACTGAATAATGCTCTCGGATTGGCTACTTCCAAACTTCATACCAAAAAAACAATTGTGGAGGATATTTGTGGTTTCCGTGAAATTGCAGGGGTTTCCATGAACAATTATTAGTTAGGTTCTAAGGAAAAATCCACGAGGCCACCGACTTTGAACTGCAACTTTGTGGGAGTGTATTGTATTTTTTTATTTTGAGAAAGGGTCTTGCTAGGTTGTGCATGTGGGGCTTTGAACTTGCAGTCCTCCTGCCTCATCCCCACAGAGTGCTGAGATTACAGGCATGTGCTTTCACACCCATCTCTTTCTTTATATAGGTTTTTTAAGTTAAGCACAGTATAATACCCAATCAGGCCAGTTCAGCTAGGAGCATGGCAGAACGCTCCTGTCAGGGCCAAGCATCTCAGTGTGAGCCATGTGTGGGATTCTTCCCTGGACAACTTTTTCTTCCCTCCACCTAAGAGATTCCCTTGCAAACAAATGGGTAATCTGCCTTAATGGTCATAGGCCAATAAATGCAAGGGGGTACATTTATTCACGTCTTTTCCTTTTTCTAAATGATTGCTTTACTAATGAAGATTTTTTTTTTTTTTTGGAAAACCCTTCTGCCATTTGGCGGGGGTGGGTGTTGGCTGTGTGAAAGTGAAGTTGTGTGTAGCAGGAAAAGCTGCATTATTTCTTGGGATGGTTGGTTTTCACTTCCCCTTTTGTACAAGATCCACCTACATGTTCTTGGGTTGTTTCTCCAGATCAACATCAACAGATTTGGTCCTTAGAACCACAAGTTGGAAAACTCATCCTTTCCGCCTTCCTACAGCCACTCAGTGGTGGACTTTCCATGCCTGTCTCTGAGTGCTAAGAAGAGCACTCGCCCTGTGCGGGTGTGGCTGAGGCTGTTGTCCCAGTGCCTTGTAGATGCCCTTGCCCACATTGATTTTCTTTCTCATGGTACTTACTCTGGCCAGCATGGCTGGTCGTCTCAGGACATCCCTGTCCCTCCCTGGTGCGAGCTTGGGCTGCATGTCCTTGTGTCATTTTCTTATTAAGCCTCCTTCAGAAAGTGGCCTGGAACATCCAAAGCATACCACACTTCTCCACTTTTCTGGTGCTCTGTACATTCTAGGCTCACCTGCTTCCAGTTGAGAGAGTGTGTCTGGCCTTGAGCGCTGAGGAGCCTGGGCTGTCCACTTGGTTGGCTGTCACCTGTCATGGATGGGTCCCTCTGGGCACTGATGCTGCTGGCCTGGGCCTCAGTTGTGTTTTATCCACCCCAGCTGGTGATATCTTTCTTTTTCAGATGTGTTTTATACAAATGTGTGCTGGGAGGCTGGTGAGAGAGGCCCAAGGTCAGAGGCCCAGATCAGGGTGTTGACTCTGCTGGTTACAATCAGGACTGTCACTGTCATCCCTGGCTCAGCTCCTGATGGCCTCCACCATTCCTCCACCTCAGGTTCCCTTTTGGACACTCCATGTCCCACCATGGCAGCTCCATTTCCAGAATACAGACCATGCCTGTCTACCAGTTAGAGATGCTTTTGGTTCTGGGAAAAGCCGCCTCTCTCCCTGCTGCCAGCAAGTGCCTACCTGCTGAGCCAGGTGCAGGCGGGCAGGCGCTAGCGCCCTGGAGGTGTCCCTCCAGCTCTGTAGGTGGGGCGGCCCTTGGCAGATCACCAGGCTACCTGCCCCAACAGGTCAAGGAAAGCAAACAAGTGAGTTAGAAGGCCAGGCAGCAGCCTCCTCATCTGTATGGAGAAGGAATTCCTGAATCCCAGGCCTTTAACCAGAGTCCCTGAAACCGGGTAATGTGGGGTAAGCTCCCTGGTAGAAGGACTCCTTTGTTCTTCCCCAAGGAAGAGCCCTTGTGCCTCCCCTTTTCCAGCAGGGCTTAGGACTTGTGCCTCAGCTTCCAGATGCCTGCAACAGCATGGCCCCCTCCCCGGTGCATCCTCTCAAGGTTATGACATGGTTCTGCTTCCAGGGACCTCAGCCATGTCCCTCAGCTGTGAGGCTTCCTTTCTGTGCCAACCAAGGAACACCGAGTGCTGCTGGGGACGCCATGGGTGGGGACAGGAATGAGCCCCACAAGCGGTGCAGTATGCACAGGGCCGTTTGGCCCTGCAGCCTGCAACGAGCCCCACAAGGAGAAACCACAGGAGGGCTTGGCTGTGTTTATCTGAATGGCTTCCTTTCTACTAGTTATTGAACATTATCAGCCTCTGAACAGTCAGGTATCAATAGAAAGCGTGTTATTCCAGTGAGTTGCTAAATGCTAGCATTGTAAATGCTAGTGTGGAAGGTAGTATCTGGCAATGACTGGTTTCCAGTCTCCATTTGGCACAAGGCAGAGTTCTAGCCCAGGTGTGAGGCCTGACTCACTGTGAGTCTTATTTTCATATGTGCTTTGTACAGCCTGCTGCTTTGGGTTAAGTCATAGCCAGCATGTCCTAACCAACTGGAAAACACAGCTGTTACTTTCGATTCACCTCTGGACTGTGGTGTTCTCTTGAAGATGTCATTTGGTGGGTGGTGTATGTTCTGTCTTGGGAACCTCTGCATGTCCTTAACTACTGGAAATACCTCCCATTAACAGAAAATGTGTTTTATTGTTGTGTGCAATCTCATAGCTGCCCAGACATTTTAGCACATTCTGGCTTTCCCAGGGATAAATGTCCCATCCTTCAACATTTGCTGGGCCAGCCCTGCCGTCTTTAATCTAAGACTGCAGAGAATTCCCTGGCCCCTTTCTGGACAGGATGCCTGGCACAGGTAGGTGCCTAACTGGCATGGGCTTTCCTCGCCTGGAGCAGGCATCTGTTTGAACCCTGTCCATCATTAATGATTCTTTTTTGCTACGCAGACTTGGCTGTGCACAGCCCTGTCACAAGGCCCTGGTAGCTTTTCCTGGTGAGTGCTGGGCCTTTTGCTTCTGAATTTTCCTTCAGGACACTGCTTCTGGCTGGGCCTGTGGCGTTTCAGTGGTGGGTTAAGAGTCACTTGCTTACCTCACGCTCTGTGTCCCTAGGAGGCCCTCTGAGATAGGTTTTCCCAGTCTCCCCCAGTGAATGGTTGCATTTCTAAGTTACGAATTAGTTTTTTTCCTCATCCTTGCTGGTATGTAATTCCTTCTTTGTGTTGATTAATTGGAAAGAGCCCAGATCATCTTTAGCATAGTGTGTAGAACAATGCTGTCAATAGAAATATAATGTGAGCCACACATTTAACATTTTCCAGTAGCCACTTGGAAAAACTAGTGGCAATAATTTTAATAATTTTTAATCTAGTATGTCTCAAATACCACATAAACATTCAATCAATATAAAACCCACTACATTCTTTTTTCCCCCTAAGTCTTCAAAGTCCCTCCTCTGTAAGTAGCGGCTTTCAGGACCCAGTGCTTCCTAGACGTGTGGCTGTGGCTGCTGGACGGACGGGCCTGTGCTCCTCATGGCTGGTTCTCTCCTGCAGCCTGCTTCCCCTCTGACCATTCTTAGTCTGCACACATAAGGTTAAAGCAGGCATCTTTGGGAGCCCCCTGAACAAATCTGTTTTGAAGCAAGACCACACATATGTGAATAAAAGTGTTTTTCTCGAAGGGGGGAGATTTATTTTTCCATTCTTTGGGGCAGGGGCAGGTTGTATATTAGAAACTGGGCAGACCTTGAGCCAATCCATCGTAATTTCTTCATTTTCCTGTGAGAAGTTCAGGGGAAGAGATAGACACCTTGGTGAAAACTGGGACCTCCCACAGACTTATAATTCAAAGACTGCTTTTTTCCTTTATGGCTTCAGAGATTTGAGGTTGATGGGGGATTGTCCTAGACTGACTGGCAGTGTCCCAGATTTCTAAGGGCGAACTCACAGTTGGGGAGCCACATGCATCCCCCTTGTCTTCACTGCCACTGGCTGGGCAGGAGGGGCTTCATCCTGAGCCAGGCAGTGCAAGACGTCCCTGGCAGGGCTTGGCAGAGTCTCAGGGTCAGACTTCAGGTGTTGTGTGACGATGTGGAAATGGCTTTTGTCACGAGGACTTCTTTGTTTTTTCAGTGATGAGATAGTCAGTGGTGCCTGGGTTCACAAACTTAATTCTTTCCACGATTCTAGTTGCAGAATTCCTTCCAAGATTCTGGGGGCAACCAGAATTGTGGAAAGAATTACATTTGTGAACCGAGTATTTTGTAGCACTTCACTTGTAGTTGAGTTACTTAAATCCTATGGATTCCTTTCCTTTAATTCTCACTAAAATCATATTTTGAGAGTGTGAGCGCTCACCCCATTTCTTTTGAATAATACATGTATTTTCATTAGAAGGGAGGGAAGGTTTAAGTACGCCAGTCTGGATTTTATGCATGCAATAAATTAGTGGATTAGTGGTACATGGATGGTTCTTTCAAAGTGGGGACCCTCCTAAAGCCATACCTGTGTTACCGATGTAAACCTGTATGTTATTGACTGCTGGGGGGCCAGAGACTTGCATCTGCAGATCACTGATCCTTGACTGTTTAGAGAAACAGTGGTGTCTTTGAGTCCACTTAATTCTCTTTTTTTTTTTTTAAACATTTTCATATTTTATTGGTACATTTTAGGTATACAATATAATGACATTCATCATTGGAAATTTGCACCTTTACATAATCTCCCTTGGTTCTTATTTTTCCCCTTCCCCTGCCCTCCCTTCAACCCCTCCATCCTTCCCTATTTACAAAGATTTTGTTTCCATTTTTTCATTTTCTCACATTCCATTCCCTTCTTTCCTTTTTCCCCTACCCCTCCCAATTCCCCTTCCCCTTTGCCCCCTTTCTTCCTATTTCACACTATGCATTATACCTTTTAGTCCTTATTTACACTTTCAGTTTCTCACACTAGAGAAACTATTTGGTATTTACACATGTGTGACCTGTTTATTTCACTTAAGAGTATCGCCTCAATGTGCATCCATTTAGCTGTAGTCCACTTACTCTTGAGAGCTGTTACCTCAGACAGTGTCCCTTTCTTGGGTTTTGAAGGTTCATCTTTATTCACAAAAATGTGTCTCAGTCCAAGCAGCACTGACTTTAGACTGTCCTCATGCCACCATCACACATCATATGTAGCCTCTGAGTGCTAGCAAGGCTGCTTTGTATGCGTGGATGTCACAGAAGTTGCAGCACCCCGTCAGCCTTTTCTGCCCATCCTGTTCAATGTGTACAACTGTGTTTGTAATACTGTGCCTTGCTTGCTGTACCACAATGACAGGGGGAAGCAGAGAGAGACTATGATAATAAGAAAATCAGACTGGATAAAGAAGTCAAATCACAGCCCTCTTTGTCTTCATCCTCCCACAAAGAATCTTCTAGAACAAAGTGAGTATGGCCATTAGGCACAGCTTAGGGGGGTTCTGAGTCTTCTTGGGTCCTGACAGGACAGAGAAAGGTTCTTTTCTGCAGCAGAACTGATGATTGATGCGCCTGCTCTGACTCATTAGACCAGTGTGTTCAGTTTGTCTTGTGTCCCTGTCATCCTTGAGCACCCATAGGAACTGATAGTTGCTTTGGCAGCAAGTTTAGATTTTATCAGACAGCTTTTCATGAAGGAAAGTTTTCTAGACATTGAGAGTTTTTAAGAAAGGCACTCTTGTTGTCCCTTCTTTGCAGAATGGGAAACAGAGTCCCAGAGAGAAGAAACAGTGACCAGGGTCCGTGCTGTCCTCAGAGTGGGAGAAGCTTGGACAGCAAGCATGGTGTTACCAAAGGATGTCATAGGAAAGGATCTGTTGTCTACTTTTGATTTAGTCAGGAAATGTCTTCACATGTGGCTTGGCCTAAGCAAAGACATGGTTCTCCTGTGGCAGCTGCAGAGAGGGGTCAGTGTGGAGGTGCAGTCGGGTCACCTGCTTGACAGGCAAAGTCCAGGTCAGGACCAGTTGAGGTGGGAGAGAGCAGCAGACTCTGCAGGTGCAGTGAGAAACCCCAGCTGCATTATTATTATTAATGGATGGGGCTGGAGGTTTCACAGGTGTGCAAAAGTCCCTAAAATTTGGCCTTTCTGCAATACGGGGGCAAGAACTGTGACACTGCGCTCTTTCCTGAAGCCTGCATTTTGTCCTTTATAACTGAGAGGTTTGATTTCTGTTCTGCCTCAACTTTGTCTGATGTTTCACTCCAGGACTCCCAAGCCCTCCTCAGAGCCCTCAAAAAAGGAAATGCTTCCCCCTCCACCTGTGTCCTCCTCCTCCATGTCCTCGTCCTCCCAGAAGCCAGCCAAGTCTGCACATAAGAGGTCACGGCAGGAAGCAGACCTCTGTCAGGACCCTCCCCAAAGTGCCAGTGGTCCCAAGAGCAGCGATAAAGACCTCTCCGTTTTCAAGCACAGGAAAGTCCAGGGCAAGGGCTCTGGAAGCTCCTTGGAACACAGAGTAAGTGAGAAGCAGGAACCTGCGAGTGGGGGCCGTCCTGGTGCATCCGAGTGCCTGGCTTAGTGCCTGGCTGAGCAAGGTCCTGGTCACAGAGCTTCAGAGCCATTGGTCTGAGTTAACTGGCAATAATATGTTGGGTTTAAAGTTGTGATTCTTGGAGGGCAAATATAAGGTCATTTTACTGAGATAGTAGGGGTCAGTTTGTCTTAAAAATGATGATTCTGGGTGAAAAAATTAGAATAATAGATTGTTATACTAATTTTCAATGAGATGTTTTGCAGAAAGAAATTGTTACCCCAGAGAGTTCTTCTTTGCATATTTGATCTCAAATACTGTAATTATTTGCTATAATGGAAAAAATAACCACTTTCTCAAATCAAATATCCTCTCTTCCTGTTAATGCTCGCGAATCCGTGTCTGTGTGTGTGTGTCTAAGCAGAAATGTCATGAGTTGCTCGCTGTCTTGAGCATTCTCGTCTCAATGTTTTGAATCCCCAGAACAGCCAGAAACTGTGGGTTCCATTGTGTCTGTAGTGGGAAGGTCCGTGCCCAAGGTGAAGTGTGGTGTCTAGTTTACTCCTGTTCAGGCACTATTTGGGGCTACTTAAGAGAGATACTACTTTTAGGACAATGATCTTTAGGGTTAAAATGTAATCTGTGTATAATTTTTTTTAACCAGGGATCTGGAGATACTGCAAACCCTTTTCCAGTGCCTTCTTTGCCAAATGGTAACCCTAAACCAGGGAAGCCCCAAGTAAAGTTTGACAAGTAAGAGTCTGGATGCTTGCTGCTGCTGCTTTCTCCCCTGCCTGTCTCCTCCACCTCCCCCTCTCACTTCCTCTCTTCTTTCTCCCTCCTTTCCCCTACCCTCACCCTCTCGGTCGTCTTCAGCTGCCTTGCCCCTGTCTCCTCATTTCCGGTTCCTAGGGCACACCTTTCCATTTCTCTTTTTGCAGACAGCAAGCTGATTTTCACATGAAGGAGGCCAAAAAGTTGAAGTGCAAAGCAGAGTCAATGGTCAGTCTTGGCTTTTTATTCCTTTGGTAGAAAGTTTTCTGATTAAAAAAAAAATTATCGTCTATGATGTGCGGTGCTCTACATCATCAAATGTGTGGCTGCGGAGAATTGGGGTGGAGGGAGGAGGAGGAGGAGGCCTCTGTGAGTGGGACAGTCAGGCTCTGGGTGAGCAGCGGCTAAGGAGTTCTGGTGGAATCGTGTTCTTTGGTTCCACTGATTCAGTCTGATTGTGGACAGATTGATACAGAGACCCTAGTCAGTAGAAGTTGATCTGTCTGGTAGTGGTGTAGTAGATGAGTGCTTCTTATCTCACCAAATCAATTCTTTGGATGACAAAAACAAGTCCTGCTAATGAAAGTCAGTCAATTTGTGACCACGCTGAAAAGATTTATGAAGTGAGGAAGTCTGTTTGCATCCCAGAATTATCTAAAGCCCTGGGTGCCTGAATGAAAGTTAGCTGAGCCCATTAGATGACAGACAGTTCCAGATGCAGGTACTGATGGTACTGTTGGTAAACATACCTGGAGGTATGGATTCTGTTGACTTGTTGGCCTTTGGACTTTCTGGAAGGTGAAGGTTTGTTATTGCCTATAATTAAATATTCTTTTATATCACTGCTACGGTATGAGGCCATGTGTGCCTTTTGTCATATGTAAGCATCTGAAGCCCTGGGCTTTTATTTGTATAGTGTGCTCCCCAGACCTAAACCCCTGCAAACATTTACCCCTTTCTGGAAAGGTGTGTGTTGCCACAGGAGAGAGCAGGGCTGCCAGAGACCCAAACCAGCAGCTCCACAGTGGTCACAGGGACCGAGGCCTGGGGTCATCTATATCTGTTCCTGACCCTCCAAGAGGGATGTTCTAACACCCCAGAGCAACTCCCCATTCTTCAGGCAAAATATCCCTTGATTTTTTTCCCACACCAGATGTTCCTGGGGAGTTCAGGGTAGGTCCCTAGACCTGCCCCATGCCTAGGTCACCTGAGTCAGATCACAGCTGTGCTGAGCAGTGGTCCTCCTTCCCACTTTCTTAGATGGAGATGAACTGAGTGATTCTGGAGTTTGGGAAAAGAGTAAATGCTTAGCACTGTCAACCAGTTGTCTACAATTAACCTTGACATTGAACATTGTATGCCCTAGATTCCCTATTATTTGAATGATTAAGATGAGTACTCCAGGAAGTTGGTTTGGGTTTTACTCTATAGAGTGGCACATCTTTTCTCTCTACATGAGGTGACCGAGCATCCCAGTGTGCCAGAGCAGGTCTGCTTTTGTCTGTTGGAGTCCAGTGTAATAATACATCCCATTCTGCTCTGGAAGCCTGAAGTTTGGACAGTAATATGTAAGACCACCCTCATAATTGCATAATGCCTCAAAGATGTGTTTGACATTCCAAAAAGTTAAGTTGTGCATGACTGAGAATAGATGAGTGTATTTCATCTTTGTACTGTGCTCACTGTTGAGTGCAGGAATTTGGGCTCTACCATTTTAAACCAGTTTGGGAGATTTACAGGTCACCACAGGGATAGTACTTCCAGGCATTGCCAGCCTTCCTTGCAGAGTAGTTAAGGAAGTAGATGTTAACTAATTGCTCAATCACATTATAGTTCTTTGCTTCTGCCCCAAGTCCAATATTAATTTTGGAATATCCATCAAAGAAATGATTTTAACCCAGTGAATTTTGAGTATTAGCTTCCCATCAGCAAAGCAAACCAGTATAAGCAAACCCTATACTGCTAATGAACTGAGGCATTTAATTTTAATTTATTCTTTTTGACAGTAATACTCTGGGCCTACACTATCTAGGAAAAATATTTTTTAAAAATCATGTTATGTCTAAAATGTAAAATCCTAGAGCAATAATGAGTATTCTGGAATATAACGTATGCATATGCATGTGCATGTTGCCAGCCTAATTTGTTCCCCTTCCAGGCCAATAGGAAGACAGCATGCACCTAGGTAATAGCTGCCAGGTGTGCGGTATGAATAAGTAGCAGCCTGTAGCCATCTCCTCGATGTTGCATCAGCATATGTCTGTCTGGGGTCCCCACCATTGCTCTTTTCATCCTCTTTTAAACGGATCCCTTTGAGAGCACTGGTACTATTTACCAACTTGCAGTATTAATGTGTGGTGTTCAGGCCAGATTTGGAGAAAGAATGAGTGCCCCTCACACACTGATTGGTTGGAGTGACTTAGTTGTATTATGCTACTTAGTGAAAAGAGGATTAATGATAAAATGTTTATTGAGGTTTAGGTGGCCACCAATATCTGATTGCACTTTTCTGCAGTCCCTTTAAGGTACACTGAAATTTTGTCCTGGTTGTCAAAGGTCATGGCCTTGTATTCTAAACCAAGGCGCCAAAGGAGATTAATCTGTTGGGCTCTACAGTGCTTAAAAAGATGACTGTCAGATATTTTATGTAAGATGCTCAGAAACCATAATGAACGTTTTCTGCTCACAAGATAAACCTCAGTTCCTACAGAGAGACTTGTGTCTGCATTGCCCTAGATGTGTAGTATAATCTAGTTCTTGAGGAAGTTATGAAACAAGTAATTGCGTGCTGCTAACAGGGAGTTTGTGCACATGTATTTATTTCCTGGAGGTGTGAGAGAGTAGCCTTAATTCAGGACTGCTGTCTTCTTCCTAATGAGTTTTTTTTTTTGGTACCAGAGATCGAACTCCAGGTCCTTATGCTTGCAAGGCAGGTGGCGGAACCGCTGAGCTAAATCCCTGGCCCCTTCCTAATGAGTTTTTGCTAGCTCTTCAGTAGGTAGTTGCTGACGGGCACTTTTACCTATCACTTTCAGTTCATTCATCCTTACACTTCTCTGTCTTTTTTTTTTTTTTTTGGTACCGGGGGATCGAACTCGGGTCCTTGTACTTTTGTACCAGGCAGCGAAACCACTGAGCTAAATCCCCGGCCCCTCACACTTCTCTCTTAAGCACGACTGAGCTCAGACACTAAAGTCCCAGGAAGGATGTGGGTAAGAAACTATAAAGAACAGTCTGTCTTGGCCTAACAGTGACCGTGTTTTCCTGCAGACGGACAAGGTGGGGAAGGCCTTTAAGTACTTGGATGCCGTCCTGTCCCTTATTGAGTGTGGGATTGCGATGGAGTCGGAGGGCCCGGCAGCCAAGTCAGCATACTCTGTGTACTCGGAAGCTATGGATCTTGTTAAGTAAGTGCCAAGTTGCTGTGCTCTTCTCGTGCCTACTGTATTTTGCTTGCCTCTATTGCTTAATCCACTGGAACCTTAGTTTGGTACAGGGGAACCTTAAAAAGTACAGAGGTAGGTGCAACTGTGCAGTAGAGCATGTGCCTGGCATTCAGGAAGCTGGGGGCTTGACTCCCAGCACTGAAAAAAAAAATTTAAAAACTGTTGGCTCAAAAACAGTTTTTGTCCTAAACTAAAATTGTGCTCCAGCTGAAGTGCTAGCCCAGAGTAACAGGGTATCATCTTGCCAAGTACACTGAGCATCGTGGAACTCTAGTTCACCCTTTCGGCTGTTGTGCAGCTCCCCGATTGTCACAGGGGGCTCCTTGGGGATGCAGCTAGCTGTACCTGTGCCCATGGAGCCAGGATGCCTCAGGGTCTGCATTTCGCTGTCGCTCTCAAGTCTCCACACCTCAGGAACCACTGTGGGAGCTGCGTGAATTTGGGCCGCCCCGGTCCAGGTCTCTCCGTGCCTTGTTTAACCCATTGCTTTCTCATCTTGCTGCAGGTTCACAATGTCGCTAAAACCCTCCGATACCACAACACAAGAGAAAATATTTGCTGTTTTATGGTGTGTACCTTTTACTTAGTCTAACTTCACCTCAATTTGTTTTTGTTTCTTTTGATGTTTTAAGAAATTTTTGAAACTTGTTGTAACCTGAAATTTATGGTAAAAGCCAAGTCACTGCCTTGACAAATGTTGGATCCCACTGTTAATTGTGAAAATGGCATCTAGTGCTGGCTCACTGGTGACTTCTGAATGTTTCAGTCTTGCTGTTTAAATTGTGTTCCTGTGTGTTTGTGATTTGGGGCCAGTATTTACTTTTGGCACAGTCTGATCTGTGTAGAAAGTCTGGGGTGGCCTGGCACAGGCGGGTTGGCTGGCTGTGTCCCATGGCAAGCTTGTCCTGTTCGGGACAGGCCATGCCTCATGTGACTTCTGTGTATTCACAGCATGCGTTGCCAGTCCCTCTTGAACATGGCGATGTTTCGCTGTAAGAAAGACATAGCAATAAAGTATTCCCGCACTCTGAACGAACACTTCAGGAGCTCTTCCAAAGTAACCCAGGCACCTTCTCCATGCATTGCAAGGTAATCATGTCTAATTTAAATAATTTACAGAATGAAGTCATTTTTTATCTCTTGCTTTACAACTATTTGTGTATGTGGTAGGGGAGGACTTTGGCTTTTCAAAACTTAAATGCATTTGTGTGCTAATTTACTTCTTCAAAGTAAATCACTATCATTTTCTGCATTTTTGAAAAGGAGTTACAAGTCAAGGCTTAGGCTGAGTGACTAGCATAAAAGGTACAGTCATCCCCTCTTAGCCATTGTTGATGCGTTCCACACCCCTAGTGGACACCTGAACCTGCAGCTACTGTGGACCCCTCCATAGACTTCCTGTACAGACCTATAAAAGTTTAATTTCTTTGTTAGGCACAGTCTGAGGTTAACCACAAAAGACTGGCGATGTGGCTCGGTGCCAGAACACTTGCCTAGCATGCATGAAGGCCCTAGGGTCCATCCCTATCCCTGGGAGGAAAAACCCCAAACCAAACACACAATACCATAATAAAAGCTATGTAAAGGTTTCTTCTCTCATTCAAGACAAATACTAAAATTTTTCAGATAGAGGTTGACAGCAAGTAACTAAAACTGTGGAAAGTGAAAGCATGGCTGAGAGGGGGCTCCTGTAATCTCCAGGAGCATACAATCTGAAGTATAGACTCCAGGGTCTTGGGATCCCCTGAGAACAAAGAGCCCTGGAAGCAGAGCCAGCATCCCTTCTCCCTTCTTGTGCTACATCTGCTTGGCATTCAGTAAATGGGAACTTCCCAGAACTATGTGCCCTTCCCCATTCCCAGGACTCACACCGGGGCAGCACGAATGACACAGTCACACCCAGCAACAGTGTCTCCCTGCTTTGTGAACAAAACTGTTCACCTGTGGGGTAAGATGTGGAAAAACAGAATGCTTGTGCAGTGGTTTGTAGGATGGGAATAGAATGTTTTTCTCCACAGTCCTTCACTAACAATTTTTTAAATTTTTGGTCATATTCCTTGGGAATTTCCCAGTTCTGAGAGGAAATTCCCAACAATTTGAAAGAAGACTGCTCTGTATCCTCTCTCCAGCAAAGCAAGACCTGATGGGGAAGTAACATTCACCCTGAAAATGTCACCACTCCAGCTCCGAGCTACTCTAAGCTCTGAGACAGTCAGTCACATTATTGTATGCAATGCCTTCATCTGGTGCCCAGCAAGGCATGGTCTTTAGGCCACCCCTGCAGTTCCTAGATGTACCAGGAAACAACGTAGCAGAGAGGCCCTGCTCCTGAATCACTCTCCAGTCCTGGCAGGGTTGACTGACTGCCCCAGGACAGATGTTTCCTGCCAGGCTGCTGCTGCTGCCCCTTCCATCTTAGAACCACTTATTGTTTACATCTAAATGATTTCCCTCCACACTGAGATCCATAGTACCTTATGTGGGCAGGTACTCAGCCAGGGCAGAGGAAAGCTAATGTCCAGTTCCCGGCCTGTGCTACCACCTTTCCCCATCCCTTCCGGGTCTGCCCTGCTTTGGTTGATGAAACAAGTCACCAGGGACCTACAGGCTCTTAGCACCTACCAGTCCTGGGCTTAGGGCTAGCAGAGCACAGATTGTTAAGACCCGTGTCTGCCTTCTTGGTGCTGGGACCCAGGAAAAGGGAGATAAATGCACAAAAAGAGATTAAGTGGTGACAGAAAGGAAGCCGTGCTGTTCCACACTGTCCACACCAAGTGCCAGGTGCAGAGTGGGGCTCCGTGTCCTGTTGAGTGAGATGAAAGCAGTCTTCCCAGCATGCCTTAGAATTGGGCATGGGAAGAGCATGGGTTTCTGGAAAGGTGAGAAAGTGTCTCAAACATAGCTGAGCCCACCTGGTATCCCTGACTTGTAGGAGTGATGTAGCAGTGAGTGCCACTTGGATGAGGACACAGTGAGACTTTGTGACTTGGACTGCAGCTCCAGAGATAACAAGCTGATTCTTCTCTCCTTCTCACCCTGCCAGAAGCACAGGTGCACCATCCCCCCTCTCCCCAATGCCTTCTCCTGCCAGCTCTGTCGGGTCCCAGGCCAGTGCTGGCAATATGGGGAGCAGTGGGATGACGGCCACAGTCAGCACCCCTGTCTCCATTCAGAACATGACCTCCTCCTACATCACCATCACGTCCCATGTTCTTACCGCCTTTGATATTTGGGAGCAGGCAGAAGCCCTTGCAAGGAAGAACAAAGGTAAGGGCTCTGGCGTTGATCAGTGGGTTGTGGGCATAGGGTGGAAAGAGTGTTATTGGTTTGGATTTTATGTCCCATTCCTTAGAGAACAGGGACTGCGTAGCTGTTTGCTCTCTTCTCCATTCTGCTCAGAACCCAGTTGGAGTTCTTCCTTGAGCTCTGTGGCACGGGTCTGGATTCCTGTGGTTAGATCTCCACAAAACCAAATTAGAAGCAGCTTTAGCACCTTGCCCCTTCATAAGTCCTTTAGGTCTGAGTGGAACCACTAGCAAAAGGGCACAGCAAGAGAAGGTGGAGCCTCACTGGCTGTTCTTAGGCTCAGCACATCTGCGATAGGAAGTAGCATAATCCCAAGGCTGAGTTTGTTTGCTTGCAGCCTATGTTAAGAAAAATAGCTGCAGGGGCTGGGGATTTAGCTCAGTGGTTCTGCCACCTGCCTCCCAAGTGCAAGATCCCAAGTTCTGTCCCCGTTACAAAAAAAAAAAACTTGTCATGTTTGCCCTGGGGATTTAGCTCAGTGGTTCCGCCGCCTACCTCAAAAGCACAAGATTCCGAGTTCAATCCCCGGTGCCTCCCCAAAAAGCTGCAAATGGAAAAGATGGCTTGGTAAACATTCTTGCAGAGAAGAAGGCCCTTGGGGACATCCATGGTTTAAGAACAGCAGAGCAGGGCCGGGGATTTAGCTCAGTGGTTTCACCGCCTGCTGTGCAAGCGCAAGGATACAAGTTTGATCCCCGGTACCAAAAAAAAAAAAACGTTGACCAGAACAGCAGATCATGCAGTCAGGGGAACTGTTTAAGTTGGTGCCAGTCACCACTAAGTAAATGCTTACATATGTGAGTGCCAGATTAAGGCCATTACATTTTTCTTTCTGGCTCTAGGAAGAATACAGCCAGCTGGCTATAGCCTCTAAACTTCCCCACAGCCTCTTAGAGCTTTATCTTTCTCAGCAAACTAATAATGCTTGTAACATGGTGGGTTTTGTTGTGTTTTGTTGTCCATTCATCCATGTCTATAAAATATCAGGGACTGTGCTAGCCGGATTTTATGGATTCTACTCTGAAGCAAACCTGGTCCCTGCCCTTCTAGCCTTCTAGCCTAGTGGAGGAATATGGAGAATTATCAAGCAATCACAGTAGATTGTGTTGCTGGTGTGTTTTGGTTTTTTTTCAGTACTGGGGAGGGAGGGAGGGAGGGAGAGATTTTGTTTGATGTTTGGCTGTGATAAATGAAAGGTGGAATATTGGGGACATAGCTTCTAGAAACTTGAGTTTTTCTGCTTTTAATTTTTGTGTTCATGTATATTTACTTGGTTGGTTGGTTTGTTTTGCAGAATTCTTTGCTCAGATCAGCACAAAAACCTGCACCTTGGCCCTCAACAGCAGTTTGGTGGACCTGGTGCACTATGCAAGACAGGGTTTTCAGCGGCTAAAACAAGCAGCCAGAACACCTTAACAGATGCCCAAGTTGACTCAATGCCTTGGGAACTATTTTTGCACATTGGAAGCCTTGGAACCAGTCTGGACTTTTGTCTCAAAAGGAGCTCTATGAGATGATCTGGAAGCTGGTCCACTTACACTCTCATGGGTTGTGTAACCATCAGTTGGACAGTGTGGCTATGCAGAAGCAGGGATGGGGTCAGCAGAGAGATGATCTTACTTTTCTCAGCGGGGGACAGAAGTGCAGTGTTGCCTTCCAGGCATGCGAATGGTCTGAGATCATTTCCCTGGATTTTTGTTTTGTTGTGTTCTGAACCAGTGGGATGCAACTCTGAAAACAAATCCATATCATCTCGGTAGTCACACTAGGCCACTCCCAGAAGGAAATTTTTTTAAACAGTGATTTTTGGTGAAGGGTTTTGTGGTTGATTTCTCTTAAGTTTTAGGGGAGGATTTGTTTAGTAGATTCTGTTGGCCATCTGAAAACATAAATTGTGAAGGACTCCACTGTACCCTTTTCTTTGAGTAGGCAGTGGCTCTGATGTTACCAAGTACTGTCCTAATTTATAAAATCAAAGGAAACCCGATTGGCTAATGGACTGCACCCTCACCCCAGCTTGGAGTTCTCCAACTGAGCTGGAAGCCAGCTCCAGATTCTGTTCATCAGGGGGACTTGGCATCACTGTCCCATCCCTGCCTCTGGGAAAAGGAGTTGGTGATGAGGCAGTCACCCTGGACTATCTTCTGAATTTCCTATCTTGGGGAAGAAGGGAATCAACCTTTATACCTGACCAGATGGCTAACGTGCTTTTTAATTTTCGTTTAAGCAGCACTGGAATCCAAGGTGCTGGTTGGTGGTCTGCAGCTATGTGGTAACTTGTGTGTGACCAACTCTGAGTTTTGTCAGTGAACAAAGAAAAATGAAATCTACTTCTTAGGCTATATTTTTCTGCTACAAATTATTTTATATTTATAGCAAAATTAAACTTTCTGAGCCTTTGCTTGACTAGAGGAAGTTAACTCCCTGAGAGGAGGCAGAGATTTGGGGGACTGATTAGACTTTAGAAATCGTCACCACATGCCTTCACTCCAGAGTGTTCTCAGTCACTCAGATCTGGTGAGGCTGAAGAGGAACTGCGGCCTTCCCCTGAGCTCTTCCCACACCGTCTGCACTCGACCAGTTCCTTCACAATGACTAGAAGGAAAGGACACATTCAGGATTCCCACAGTCCCGTCACACAGGTTCTCATCCATGGAGATTTTGAAGGTTCATATTGGAAATATCCTTCTGAGTGCAGTGTTGTTTCAAAAGCCAACTTTTTTTTTTTTTAAACCCCTTTTAGAAAGTAGGATTTGCACATGTATTACACTTGAGGAGTTATCTCTATAATTAACTGGTTAATTTACTCCTCCTTCAACCTGTTCTGTGTTCTGCATATTTCCTTCTGAGCATGTCTCATAGTTTGGTATTTATTACTTGTGAAGAATGAAGATGTCTCCAGTTCCTGTGGTGAATGTAGAAGTCTCTTGTGCAGTGCCTGTGTAAAGGGCCAGGTAGAGGATAGGGGTGATGCTTGTTTCTGTTCCACATATAGCTGTCCATGTGGCATTGTCTGTTAGCCTCACTTCCCACCTGTTCTCTCACCCTGGTTGAGTTAAAGCCATAGATGTCTGAGCAGAAGACCTTGATGTGCAATTCTGACAAAGCAGCTTCTTCGTGGTTGCTGTAATGCAAACTTATGGTCTTTCTAAACTCTTAGTTTAAAATACCTTTTGACATTAATTTCTCAGCAGGTTGTGTGTGTGGTGGTGTGTGCGCATTTTGTGTGGCCGGGACACGGCACTAGAATGAGGCCTATGCAGTGTAGTTGCCATTCTTTTCCTTGCTCTGTTGGCTGTCCCCTCCCAGCTGGGGGTATCCCTCACTGAGCAAGCTGCCTGTCACTTGTACAGGGTGATGCTCTCTGCCGAGCATGTGCCTTCCCAGTGAGCCACCCCGTTCCCTTGACCCAAGACATTTCTCAGCAATTCTCAAAGAACAGACAGCTTTTTCTGTGGCCTTATTCTTTGTGCGATTTTTTTCTGAACTCTATATTAAATTTTATTTGTCCCTTGAACAACAAATTTGGATAAATCAATTTGTACTGCTTCAGTCACTCCGTATTTCTGATTCTGATTACAATACTCAATGTACCTAAAATGGAGTAGCTGGGGATCCCTCATGTCCACTGGCGTTTTTTGTTGTTACAGTTGTGTATAGAAATCTATATAGAAGGATATTTAAACCATTTACACTTTTTCACTGCATGGTTATAATTCCCAGTGGCAGAATTTATACTGAGGTAGAATATTTGAGAGAATTGCATTATAAAATTAAATCCAAATATGTGATGTCATCATAACAGTAATAGTACTCACTTCACATTGAGGCAAAGAGAAACATCTGAAGAATAAGTATAGGGCCGGAGATTTAGCTCAGTGGTGCCGTGCCTGCCATGCAAGCACAAGGTCCTAAGTTCGATCCCTGGTACCAAAAAATTTTTTTTACAAGAGTAAGTCTTATGTTTTCCATGTCAGGGTGTGTGTGTGTGTGTGTGTACATGTACACACAGTAAAAAATGAACACTTTTACTTTTAAAAGTGTCAAATGATTCTACCCTTCTGGAGATAATTAAAATGTGAATCAGTGAACTTAAAAGCTCTGCTAAACAACGAAAAACACTACTCAAAATATACCAAATTATAACGTGGTTAAGAGTGTGAAAACATAGGCCACCTCGTAACAAGGTGAAGAATGGGAGGGGCCAGCAAGCAGTTATCAGGAGTTTACCTACAGTAGGATAATTTGACTGTCTGATGTTATGATTGGGTCTCAATAGTGAATGGGAAAAGCACCTTTTTTTTTTTTTTTTTTTTAAAACCAAAGGACCTTTATTTTATAGATCTGTTTTGGCCAAAATGTGTAGCTATTTCCCCCAACAAACTGGACCACATTTACCGCTATTGTTCTGTGTCCTTTAATTCCAGATCTCAGGATGTTCAGAAGCTAACAAAAGCTGTTCCCTTTCTGGCTGAAACCTTGCCTTAACTGGTCCCTTACATATTAATGTTGGTAGGATCAGGAGCTTACTCTTATGTGTCCTGTGTAGTAACTTAAAAGCGAAAAGGAAACCACTGTGTCCTCCAAGCTGTTATCTTTGCTGTACAAGAGAGTAATAGCTGAGTCCATTGGAGTGTATGTTGTGCCTTTGTTGACCAAACTTAAGTTTGAAATAATGTTTATTTAGCCACAGCTTCAAGGGTTGTTACGAGTGTCTTACATCTTTTATCCTTCTGCTTTATAAAGTCTGAAGTATAATTGTGCATCTTAAGGTAATTGAGTTGGGCTATTTAAAAAATGTATTTCAAAAATTTCCGTGTCTCCTACCAGATTTCTTTTTCCTAATGATTTATAATCAGCAGTACAACAAAATGTTTGAAAAACTATCTGTTATACCTTTTACCACTAATAACCAGTATTTAAGTTTTGCAGGAATTCTCTAGTTGTCTTTGAATACCCAAGGGTAGTCTCTCGCTGAGTGGTGAGGTACATTGAAGCTGTGGGACAGTGCTGGACAGTACTTCCTCTTTTCTGTGTTTTTTTCTAGTGGGTCTGATCTTTTCTGGTTGGACCCATTTGGAAATAACGGATGTAAAGTATTTTCCTGTGCCTTTACTTTGTGTTTTTTTGTTGTGGGGAGGTAGAATGGCAGGGCAGCATGGTGTTGGGGATTTTTCTTTCAGCTCAGCAAGAGGTGGTTACACCATGTGATCCTCAGATATGCAGCTGTGCTGGTTTCTTGGTGACTTGAGAATTCATATCTATAAATTGTGAGCACTGGCCGTTTCTTTATTTCTTATTTATGATACATTGATGAGCACCATTCACCACTTTTCTTTAGGTGGTTGTAAATTTCTTGCTGTTCTGGGGGAATTGCACTATATTCTGCTCCCCTGTGCATTGGACACCAGGTACTGCATCCGGTAGAGCAGGGCCCACACCTCTCTACTCACAGGGTGCATCAGAGGACAAGATGGAAACCCTACAGCTCCTAGGGAGCCTGCACATCACTCACCTGGCCTGGGAGGACAAGGGAGGAAGGCCACTGGCAGATCGCAGGCTGGCCAGGCAGTGGCTGAGTTGATCCGAGGAAGACATGTTGCTTGGTGTAAAGTAGATGTTTAAGCAGTGCTCCACGCAGGCAGTATTCAGTTCGCCTTTGTTCAGGCCATGCCATGTGTTGCTGAGGAGACTGCACATCCTTCCCTCAGAAACCACGTGTACACTGTTGACCGTGGAGTGTGTGTGTGTGTGTGTGTGTGTGTGTGTGTGTGTGTGTGTATGCCTGTGGCCCAAATCTTTTCTCTCTGCTGAATGTGATCGTATTTTCGATGATACCTGCGCAGGGTTGCCTTTTTTATTTATTATCATTATATATTATATATTTTTTGCTTTCTTATACTTTAGAGGAAAGTCAAATCTTGGTATTACTGAAATTGTTTTAAAAAGGAGTAAATTGTCCAGTTGATAAATGAAAATCACTGGGATGTCTTTAATGAGCTTTCTTTAATGACTGTGGAACAGTGTGCTGGCTGTTGTCACAGTGATTTTGTACAGAGGCTGAGGAGGCAGCGGTGCTCTCAGTGGGAGGACGTGCAGCGTGAGCAAGGGGAGGCTGTATATTTACCTCCTTCAGCAGCACAACTGTGACTTGGGGCTTTTGAGAGTGCAGCTTAGCTGCCTTGTGTAGTCCTTTAAAAGAGACATATGTGGTCTGTGAGAGAATTATTTTTTAGAAGAAAAATTTGCAAAAGTTCTTTCCAAAGATAATGTGCCACAGATCTTTTTTTCTCTGTAATGAGGATTAAATGCTGTTTTTTAAAAAAATTGATTTGTTCATCTTCAAATTCTTTTTCACAAGAGAATCGAGCTGTTACAATAAAATTAATAAAAATTTACAGAAACCATTGGGGTCAAATCCATGCCTTTATTCATTTGCCTTGATAAATTCTTTGATTGCTGTGTGAAATTGCTGCCAATAGTCAATGAGTTTCATGTAGAATAATGTACTCTCATTCACAAGTGTATTTGTTGCTGAAATGGGGAAAGAAATGTCAGGAAGAGCTCACTTTTCTGCTTGGTTTCTCAAGGTCATAACTACACACAAGTTCCATCTAAGATCAGTGGTGCTTAGCCTCAAATGAACTGCAGTGTGGTCAGGACCAAGGTCACATGTTTTCAGTGTTTGCTGGGAAGAAGGGTTTGGGAGATGGCAGTGTTGCAGCAAATCTAAAAGCCAGCATTTCTTGCTTCGCCACCCCTAAAGAAATAATACCTCAGTAGCTTCATGAAATCAGAAAGGACTTAAGCCCAAAAATGTGACTTCCCAAATTTGAACCTTGGCTCCTGAGTCTCCCATTTGTAACCCACATTGATATGGTGGTCTACCCAGTAAGATCACAGGGGGCACAACAGATGATATGGGGTGCTCGGCACGGTGCCTGGCATAACATACTCAGAAACTGGTGGATGATTTTATTCTCTCCTTTACTGCACCAGTGTCCCAGCCTCTGCCTGAACACCGATAAAGAACTCCCTTCCCATCTGGTATTCATCCACTTTTCCTCTTGAATGAAAGAATAAACATGAATCTGCCCTTGGCAAGCCCAAGAGAGTCCACAAGTTGGCCCTAACTGGACAGGGTGGGCAGTGTGTGTGGAAGGAGTTTGTTCCCATTGAGAGAACGTGCAGGGAAGAGCACTCACTGGGATAGGCTGGGTCACAGGTCGGTCATCGGCTCTCTCTGGGTCTTGTCTGATAACTCAGGTCGGTAGTTGTCCAGGTTGTACCGGTTTATTTTACCAACCTCCTTGTTGGATGCTGAGATTGTTTTTTTTTTCCCAGATACTGGGGATCGAACTCAGGATGTTGCGCTTTGTCAAGACAGGCAGTGGTGCCACTGAGCTACATTCCTGGCCTGGCCCCCTCTGAGATTGTTTCTAATTTGGAGATATTATGAAAATAGGAAGAATGTTACCATAAGAATTCCTGGAAAAGTATTTGAGCAAATTTCAAACTTTCCTTGGAAATAATTTCTAGAAGCGGTTATAAGGTGAAAAGATAAAATTTCTACATACTTGTTTTTGGCCCACTTTTATTTTTTATTTTTTTGTACCAGGGATCAAACTCTGGACCCTGCACTTGTGAGGCAGGCAACGGAACCACTGAGCTAAATCCCCAGCCCTCACTTGTTTTTTGAGACAAGGTCTTGACATGTAATCCAGGTTGGCCTGGAACTTAACTGTGTAACCCAGGCTGGCCTCAGACTCAACTGTGATCCTCCTGCCTCAGCCTCCTAAATGCTGGGATTACAAGCATGCACCACCACACCCAGGTCCTCATACTTTATTTTGGAAAATTTCAAACATACAGAAAATCTGAACAAATAGTACAGTGATCACATACAAGTTTTGACTAAAAAGTCTGGTGTTTGAAATAATTTTATTACACTATAAACACACTGCCATGAATCCCCTTCAAAATAACCTAGCTTCTGTCATCCCATTGTTCTGGCCTCCTTGAGACAGTTCTGGAAGTCTTTTGGGTGTGTCTTTAGTTGCACTGTTGTGGCTGCCTTTGTCCTTTCGTGATCATTTTTACTTCAGGGAAAAAACCTCAAGTTGCAAGGTGCCAGGTAAGGTGTGTATATATTTCTCCCCTTAAAAATCTCAGCATGCATCATCTGTCTAGGTAAAGTGGTAACCACGATACCATTTTAGCATCTGAGAATATTCCTCAATGGCAAATACTTAGTAACATTCAAATTACTGTATTTTCCCGTCTCATAGCTTCTTTTTTGAACATGGATTCAACCAAGTTTCATGCATCACGTTGTGTCATTATGTCTATTAAGCAAGATCCAGACCTTCCCTTGCCCTCCTTTTAATAGAAGGCCCAATCCTGCACTTGTTTTCTCCAAGTGTCAGTCACCTCCTATAAACTGGAAGTTAGAGGCTTGGCTATATTTGATAAGGACCCTTCATGGGGACAGTGTGCTGCCTAGTGGATCCATGCAGATAGGGAACATGGTCTTTTACTATCAGCAGTGCTATCTTTGAGTCTGGTAAAGCTGTGATAACCAGGTCCCTTTTATAAATGCAGGCTTTTCTGCTCCTGCAACTTGTCGCTTTTTTTTTTTTGGTACTAGGGATCGAACTTGGGTCCTTGTCTTTCGAAGCAGGTGGCGGAACCACTGAGCTAAATCCCTGACTTGTCACTTATTTTTTTAGCTTGCACTTGAGGATCCTTGCCTGAATCACTTACTTCCTTGGGAGATGAGAGATGAGAAGATATTTTGCAGGCTTTTACTGTCATATTGCCAGAGAAAAGTTTTCATGCTTTGCAGAGAATCTATTTCCCTACTACTTCACCATTCCTGGTATTATGGTTGGAAAGTGAGAAAGGGAAAACTCATGAAATTTGATTTACGTTTCTTTTAATTCCATGGTACTGAGTATCTTTCCCTCACACGTCATTCCCAGTGCATGGGCTGTATGACCAGTAGTCCAGATGCAGTTCCAGAGAACCCATCTCTGGAGATGAGGGAAAGTTGTTTTTGCCTAAATCGTAGGGGATGAGTTCACCATGAGGGAGGGCTCTGTTAATGCAGGAGCAGAGAGAAGCTGAACAGTAAAAAGGAACAGGTGATCTATACAAGGTAGAAGCAGCTTTTTATTTTGGATTTATATACTCAAATGTGCATCTTTTATTAGATTGTTATTTGCACATTAACTTTTGCTTTTCAGTTTTTATCATGGTATTTGAGTTTGTCAAGTAAGCAGACTTTGTCTACTGGGTCCCTGGGGTTCCTGCTTTCAGTCTTGATGAGGTAAGGCGACTTTGCAGCCCAGTGTCAGGCAGACTCTGCCACTGAATACTGGCAGCAGCTCTGTGCAGTAAGTGGTGTCTCCTCTGTGTCCTTCTCAGTCTTATATTAGCAAGAACTTAGGCACTTTTAGAGCCTGCATCACTTGCATAGACCTTTATTCACTCCTTGTTAAGGTTGCTGGGAATGTGTATTGTCACCATCCAGGGGACTTTTTAAAAAAACATCTAGGGGGCTGGGGATGTAGCTTAGTGGTGCCGCGCTTGCCTGGCAAGTGCAAGGTCCTGAGTTCAATCCCCAGTACCGAAAAGAAATTTTAAAAAAATAAAAAATCATTTAGGAGGTCCTTAGAATCCTCAAATCCATTCCAAGAAGCTCTGAAGCTACACAGATCTTTACCAAAATAGAATCGGAGGTTCATCTGCTGTTACTGTGGTTGCGATTGGGTAATTATACTGTCTGGTCTGTCTTGTCTTAGGAACAGGACTCTTTCAGCATTGTGGTTTCCCAATAGACCACACTCAGCTGCAAGTAAGACTTAAATGAGACGCCAAGGCTTAGATAATAGGAGCCTTTGCCCTTCTAACAGACTGCAGGGCGGGCCTTGAAATACTTCCCAAACAGACAGACTTACTTTAACTTTCAAAGACCATGCTCTGCATACGTGCTTTAAATCACCTTTTTCTGATATGGGCCCAATCCTAACATCTCCTTTACCTACTTCATATGTGCGGGGAAGAAACAATTTTAGGTTTACATACCTTCACCGCTAAATATGCCTGTAAATTACCCTCTGTCCAATAGTACGAGAAACGAAGACCAGGAGCATGTACTCATGCTAGTGAATGTGGAAAATCAAATATGCTCAACTGAATAGATTACAGAAAATGCCTTTAGCTGTCTTCCTACTTCTCCATATTTGAACTGTAAAGAATCTGCAGCTATGACTTGGGGGCCTTGGACTGCAACTAAGGTCTGCACAAGAATCTAAGGTTCCCAGAATAATGTTGTACAGAAGGAATCTGGTGCACGCATCTTTGCTTTCTTAGATTTTATAGGATAAATCCCTAAAGCAACATCTGCCTCAAAGTGTAAGCCAAATTTAAAATTTTTGATGTTAGCAAGCTACCTCCAACTGTGGATGAACTTACATTGTTGCTACCTGTGGCCACAATGTGAAAAGGAATCTTACACTGCTTCAATTTGCATTTTTCTGATGACAAATGAAGGTGACCATTTTGTTACAGATGTATTGGCATTTTGCGTGCTAATAAACCCAATGTCTTATGCAAGCCAGGCAAACACTATAACACTAAGCTACAGCTCAGCCCCTGGCCACTCATTTCTGACTCTGTGGAATGCCTGTTCCTGTACTTAGTTCATTTCCTATGACATTATCTTTCATAGCATTGTGAATACGAAGAAGCCTAGACCAAGGTGACTGGCTGCCATCCACTGTATATGGTTCTTCCTGTGTTAGCTCTGTTCCTTGCACCTCAAAGACATCACCTATAAGGTGCTTGCAAGAGTTTCCATCTCTACCTTTCTTCCCAATGTACTGTGGGAAGCAATAATTATGCCCTAAGACAGACATTCATACCTGTTACTGACCCCGGGTCCTGACAGGAAGCTCCATTAATCTTTAAAATGTACTACTTGTCCAGCCGGGCAAACGACATTCTGATAAAATGGGACCAGTTCAATATTGGCAACTTTGAAACCCACTGGGTATAAATCAATTTCACAATAGTTGTCTGTGCTCCACAGAGCTAAGTCTAAAATCCATTGCCAAATGTCATTCCCGAGCTTTACTTTAATCCTATTAACCACTTTTTGCTTATTTTGAATAAAAGTAAAAAGGAAGCCCACTTTCTTGTCCCTGTGGGATTTACTCATATCCACTGAACTTTGAGTGTTGCCTTTGTGTACACAGACATGCTTCAGAACGTGTGGGCATAAATGACAGATCAGGGTGCCCAGTGTCTAGATGGCAGTGTCTTCTCTAATCAGGTACCAAGTTAACTTCAGATTGGGTGTTTGCCCATGCATGTAGCTGCTGTCTTGACTTCCTGCCATTCCTCT